AAGCTGACATGGCCCACGTGACCACTTCCTGGAATGACATTGGCTTGTTGCCTCCAAGGGCGGTGGAAGCTGGCTCATAAGCCAGAATGGCTACCTCGCGAGTGCCATGCATCGTCCACCGCAGACAGGAAAACTGACGCATCTCCGATTTGGCTTTGGAAACATGGCCAGCTGCAAACCCAAAGGCCTGCACAGCTAGGGCCTTTTGCAAGGTGGCCGGCAAAGCATCTCCAGCATCCTGGCCAAGTGCCGCTTCGCAGCATGATAAGGACAGAGAAGCTCGACTCTGGCCCTGCACACGCAAAGGTAGGATCTCACAGTGAGGCTCCCTTGAGTGTCCGCCTTGCTGACCGGCAGCAGCAAGTGTACCAGGTCACCATCCGCCAAGTAAAAATGCCGCAGCCGAGCGTTGCTGATCTCTATCTCCCTCAGCATCCACCACGTGCCTATGATGGCCATATCAAGGGCCGCGTCAATATCTTCAGGGTCAAACGCTCGAAGCTCCGCCGCGGGATTTCAAAGCCTCGAAGTCGAAGGAGTCCTTCAGCTGAGTCGGCCCAAGACCTCTCTTGATAGCCCGGACGGTGTCCACAGCGAAGCGTATCTCTTCACCCACTGGCATGCCCAATGTGCGAAGCTGGTGGGCTATCGCCGCCCCGAAGTACAATGAACTCGAATGGTAGCGGCCCCTCTTGAAGGATGCACCCAAGCTGTGCACCAACGTGACTGTCAAGGGCCAAGGCGGCAGCTCCCAAGCTGAGCTGAGCTCCGTCCAAGTCTTGAGCCGGCTGTCGACGGAAGGGCGAGTGGTCGCTGCAAGGATGGCCGTCTTAAGTTCGCAAAGGGCTGCAGCCCTATTCTGTGGCTGCGCCGCTTCCAGAGCCGCAGGCCAGGATGCCCGGTTCCTCACTTGAGCCTCCGGATGGTCAGCACGACCAGGTGGCGAGGCCACGTTTGTCTCCAAGCGGCCCCTGACAATGGCCTCGAGCTTCCATGAGGGAACCCCTAGGGCCGGCGCCGCCGGCAGGATGTCCTGGACACATCGGACTCCCTGATCAAAAAGCTCTGGAGCGAGGTCCTGCAGACCAGTCGCCCTCAATCTCTCCCACAGTTCTTGAGCCATGGTGCCGGGCTCAAGCACAAGCGGTGCCAACTGCCAACCACACACGCCTCAAGACCGGGGATTAAACATGCCGGCAGCGCCTCCGTGGAATCAAGAATGTCCACCAAGCGTGCAAGACACACTGCCACTCTGCTAAGAGGCCTCGCCATGACCGGGTATTGCGGTCGTCAGAACCACGAACTCTTCAGGATAGGCCAGGCGCCAGTCGCTGGCGCCTGGTGCTTCACCTGGCCCTGGATCTCCGCCGTGGCTACTGGCTGAGGCTCGCCAACCTTAATCCCCGTGAGCAGATCAAGCACTGGGCGCACTGCCTGACGATCAGACTCCTGCATGGAGGTGTCCAAGGAGATCAGCGCATGCCTCGCCCCCTCAAACAAGCGATCATAAACAAGTTCGGGTTCGGAGCCCCAACCTCAGCGATCCCATCGCATGTGCCATATCCAGATACTCTCCCAGCATGGCTAGACAGAAAAGCTATCTGAACCTCCACTCGGGCGCTGGAGCCGCAATCTGCGGGCCCGAGCACCCATCGTATTCACATGTCCCTGCACACAATTCTGTGCTACGCAACAAATTAAGCTGCATGTGGGTTTGCTGTGTGCGGCAGCTGTCATATCGCTCTGAACGGTGACATCGGACTTCTTGCAATCTTTTTGATGATGATAAGACCTGGACTACTTCTGGGCTTAGTTGCGGTCTTGATGGATCCGCTACCTCAACAAGCACTCTGGTTTTTGTCGAATCCCACTGAGTTAGTACTGATGGAAAATTCATGACACCATACTTCAACCACAAGAATGGGAACCAACTGGCCTCGCGGAAGCCGGAAACCAACATGCTTTTCGTGGAGTGAATCGAGATGAACTTCAGCCCGGTGGCGGCTCGTCGCTCCTCCTCATCGGAATCCTCGCTGGAGTCCTGCAGCGCCTTAGCAGTGCTGGCAGTGAGCAGTGGCCTTGGGGGCTGTGCATCATTGATATTATGTGCTACTGCAGCCAGCCGCAAACAGGTTCGAGAATGAAATTCAGATGGCGCTGTAGCTGCTTTTACAATTAGAAGTTAGAAGATTCTGCTTGAGACTTCACGACTCTGGCTTGCCACGTGCATTTGTCAAGCATAGCTTGGAATTCGTTCATGCCACAGCTTCTAGAAGTGGGACTTTTGGAACATGTACACAACCCCGCCACAGCGTAGGTGAGCGACTCTCAAGCTTTCTTTATGGTGCTCTTCGCTCAAGCTGCTCAATCAACAAGACCAGATGCCGGCTATCAGCTTCGAAAGCTTCGCTGCAAGCAGTACAGTGCAAGCATACAGAAGCCACCCTCACACTGGCATCAAACTACACCCTGTACCTTGAGATCTGATCCAAGATTCTGGCCTGGAGGAGCTGCGTAGGTGCTTTCGACTTGCTCTGAGACTGGCTCGGAGGCTTTCCTTCCTCACACCGGTCTTCCAGGGCCTTATAGGCTATAGGCTGCGACTGAGGCACACGGGATACTGCATGTGCTGTACATTCTCAATCATCACTGAAGACGCCAACTGGCTTCAAGATTCGCAGCATGGGAAGCCGGAAGTGGCCCCACGCTGAGAGACAGCATGCTACATTGCCACTCCGTAATTCTCTGTAGACCTGCAGCCGCGGAGATGCTCTTCCGAGCGCCGGACATGTTCCAGCTCCTCACTCGACTGGCTGCAGTTGGAAAGCTGAGCACTTACGTATACTTACGTACTTGATAAATGCAGAACACAAAGCAAAACACAAAAAGCCTGCAGCCGAATACAATCAACACGCCAGCAGATGATGACCACACACAGCGTTCCCTCTGCTTGCTGCTCATGCTACTGCCACCCGACGACGCAGTTGGCGGTTCTCAAGCTCGATGTGCGCTGCCTCCTCTGCGGCTGGTGTCGGGTTTACAGACAGCATTCGGGTAGGCTTGGGGCTATGTCAACTCTTCTGGTTGTTCAGCAGAACATCATATGTCTACAGGCTCTACAAGGTTCCGCAAAAAAAGCCTGTCATAGGATCAGTCTGCAGGGAAAAAAGGGCAAAGCCTCCGGGTCCATCCTCAGTGATGAGCGGGCCTCTGCAAGCGAGTCCCGTGACACCACTAACGGCAAACGCAGGATAATCCTCGATCTCAGGTAAGGGCCCTGTGGAAACTTCTTGTCAGGGGTGCTGGGGAGCTTTCCTGACATGTGTGAAGAGCATGACGAAGCCTGTCACAGTACACTTCTAGATTCTTGTGCTTTAGCCTTCGCTGCATAAGGGTTATGCTAGAGTTGTTCAAGGTGTTGGCTCAGTCCTCTGCATCCTCCATGAGTCCGCCTTTTGACTCCTCTAGCCTGAGCACGCTTCTGGGATCTACTCTTGAAAGTTTTTTGGTGATTCCATGATTTCGTGATTTCGACATCAAGCATGCCTCAATCAGTCAGGTTGCATGTGTTTGAACCCTCTGAGTGAACCACCCTGTCATTTAGCTGTGCTTCCAGGTCATCTTGCGCTTGCAGTAGCTACCGGTGGATCACTGCGGATCTGCTGCCTGGCAAACGCGTGGCCTTCTTCGTGGCAAACGCCTATAGGCTTACAAAAGCAAGTGGCTGGCAAAATCTCTGCCCAGAGCCAACTCTCGAACCATGCCAGCATTCTGTTAGCTCTCGTACTGCACCACATGAAAATGGAGACCTTCCTATGCTTGGATGTGCGGATCTTGCTTGGAGGCATGCCAATTTAATGATATGGAGGAAGTGCAGGCACAACCGTACCCATTGTCCGGGAAAAAACGCTTTCGCCCTGCTGAACAGCCAATTGCAGGCGGATGAAGTCATGCAATGTTTGACATTTGTGTCATCATAGCGAGCGAAACAAAGCACGAAGCGGCTCGAACTGCGAAGCGAAAACCCCGCTTTTTCTCCTCAAGCCTTTGCAGAGTTGAATCTATGCCGGACTTCCCCTCTGGTGGGCGCCGCTTGGCCGCCTTCTGACCTGGACCACATGCAGTCCCTGCGAAGTTGTGCATTCTGTCCAATCCGTTGGTGTTATTTGCAACATGTCCAATGCCCAGAAAGCTTGAGGGCTACACAGCTACAGCTTGCATGATGCTTGAGCCTCATCTAAAGTGATCAATTGGGGCGCGGAACAACTCACACGTTCAACGCCATAGAAAGCAACGCTTTTCCACGGTCGTGGGAGCCAATTCGTGTAAAGGTTTCACTCATAGCCACAGCACATGGCTCCTTGATGAGCTGCTGGGAGAGGCCGTTGCTCAACAAGCGTCAGCGCACATGCACGATGAACGTTGGAACACTGAAGCCAGCACTTCCTCGCTGGACTCACGTGGGCACGGCTCTTGCGCACAGACTCAGGATCGGCAGAGGTCTCACACGCCGGTGCCAGCATTCAAAGGACCGTGGCTTGCGGCATGGCAGCCAGGTCAAATATTCAAATGTGGCAGAACACCTCTGCGGGCCCAAAACTTGAGGCCCTGCTCAAGCTATGCGAAACCTCCTGTTACCCTGTCATTCTTCGGAATGCCGTTAGATGATTCCAGAAAACAGCAGTGAGCAAAAGCGCGCCATGAAAACGAGGCAAGATCATGCAGCCTCATGTTGCTGCACATGTAGGATTTAAAAAGAGGAGCTATTATGCTTCCGCCTTCTATGCTATCTGGAACACCAATAACTGATACTCGCTCACAAGTGGTCGACATTGGTGGACGCTATGTTGCTCTGGATCTGCTCGACCTCTCCAGCCTTGCGCTGCTCCCTCAAACGTCGCAGGTCTCTTGGATAACTCCAATGCAAAAGGCTGTAGGCAGCAAATGTAAAGATCCATGGAATGCAGATGGTTGCTGCCATGGCCTTCCCAAGGGCAGTGGCTGAGTCTAATGTGCTGCTAGCGTTGCCCTCCTCACCGAAGTGGTAACCGAACAGGTTCTGTGCCAAAACTGACACTATCACCGGCCCAATGGCAGCCGCAGTACTGCTCTCCAAAGCGCCCTCCCAAGCCATCACCTGAGTAAGTGCATCCGGTATCAAGAAGCTTTTATCGCCACAAGAGAATACAAGAGACAAGCTCGTGTAAACTAGAGTAACTAGAGTCCTCAGATTTGCGACTGAAAAGCCGCTCTGCAATCTGTGTTTGATTCCAACAGCCGTGTTCTATCTTAGATTTGTTTCACATGCCATTGCCTTACAGCGGTGCTCGGCGGGCACGATGTCGGAGAGGATGGGAAGGTTTGTGCCGATCCCAGCCCAGGTTGCAAAGACTCCGAAGGATCCGATGATCGCAAAGTACACCCAGAAGGTGCCCTCCCCAGCAGGCACCCCGTAGAACTGCAGGTACATCAAAGGAATTCCAATAGCCACAGTGACCTGTGCGTTCAACGGCCGGCCGTGGTAGCCCAAGCGACGTGCTAACGAATCTGCGACAAAGCCGCCCAGGGGAGCGCCGAGCATCCCAGCGGCTGTAAATTCTGCCGTCAGAATCGACGACTCCCAATCCTGTAAGCCGGCCAGCTTGAAATAGAGCAGGTTGTTTCCCATGATACTCCACGGAATGCTCCCAAAAATGCCCTGCAGCACTAGAATGCTGAAAGACGGTATTGTCAGGAAGCGTAGCACCGCCCAAAGTTCCTCCCTCACTGTCTTGCAAACTCCGCCGGAGTCGACTGGCTTCTCGAACTTCTGTGGAGGTTCCACCATACACTTGGCCAAGACGGCAGCAACTCCGTAGGTGAGTACACCGGTAACGAAGAAGAGCACACGCCAGCCTGCGAGGCTTGCAATGAAGATGTTGGCCACGTTCCCACCAAACAACGTGGTAAGCAACATCCCGAGCATAAAGAAGCTCTGTAGCTGCCCAAAGATCTTGCCTCGATCATGCTCAGGCGTCAAGTCTGCCACGAGGCCTGCGCTGAGTGACAGCTTTGTTTACAACGCACTTCTTACAATGGGACAAATCAGGAAGAAAAGACGTAAGAAATCCAAGAAATGCCAGCGACCTATGCTGACTGGTTTGAGCGAGGCCAGGAAGAAGCCGCACATCGCACGGAGGAAAACAAGTGGCAGCATTGAGGACACGAGGGACATGACGGTCACAGCGGAGCCAACACCGATGCAACCAAAGGCGAGGATTGACCGACGCCGCAGCACCTGTCGATCAGCCAGGATGCCCCAAAATGGGGCTGCGAGGTTTGCGAAGATCATCTGGGCCGTAGTGAGGATGGCAATTTGGTGGAGAGTAAGATCAATGTCTCTCTGCAAGGCAAAGAGACAAGTGCTAAGGAGCTGGGAATCTACACCCTCCACCGTGTAAGCAGCTGCAAGGCATGCAAAGGTTTTTCTGCTCAGCACGGTCTTTGCATCAGCATCCGTACCGGGAGTATCTTGTGTAGCCTTGACTGGAGGGGCCGCCTCTTCTGTGTGATTTGGAGGGGCGGCTACTCCGTCAAAGCCTTCGCCAGGTCGTTCGGCCATGGCGAACACGAGTTTCTTCCCTAAGCAGAACCTAGAGCCCTTGAGCTGAAAATGCCTAAACATGAAGTGCATCGTTGACGTCCTCAGTGCTGCTGTCTGTGATCTAACCTAAGTGACCAGCCTCGAAATTCATGGACCGCTGTTGTCGGGCGTAGGCACCACGGATGTCCAAAACATCTTCGGCCTTCGAAGATTGGGTGTGAACGAACCGATCATTTTGCCTGCAAACATCACACGGCCCCAAGGTTGGGGTCCCAAGGAGCAAGGGCTTCTACAAGTTCCATGAAGCAGCGATGACTTACCAGGTTTATGCTCTTGGGGTTAGGGTCTACTGGGCGGTTGCCATGCCAGTCCAGCCTCGGGATCTTCAGATGGTCTCCCGTTCTCCTCCAGCCAGGCCTGGCCTTGCAGAGAAGCCGGCGTTTCGGATAGGATGAGTAGCAGCATCACTCTTGAAGGAGCGCAGCCCTCTGCTCCAAACATGAAATTACAGCGTCCAAAGCCGGAGCAATGGACGTGCAGTCCACTAGCACGAATGGACATTCGCATTCTCAAGACTTGGGTCTGCTCAACAGGAGTTCAAGTGCAGCAGCACTGATTGCAAGCTCCATTACATTAAATCCCAGTAAATGATGCAGGCATCAAGGCCCACGCCACTGTAGTACAGCTTCTTGAACTGCACAGAACAAGGGACGCCCAAGCTTACAACATCTCTGCGGTTCTGCGAAACTGTACAACTGCAGCAGAATACGTGTGCCAGCAAAAAAAACTGCATGCCGCATGCCAGCTACTGAAAAATAATATCTTATCTCCAGGGATTGCCACCTTACATCTGGCAAATCTCGAGACTCTTGAAGGCCGCGTCATTGCTATTAGTCATGTGACATGGCATACAACACACATTCTGCTGCAATAACATCTGCGACTGCAGCAATTGCTGTGAATTCGACGGCCTCTTCGGGCTTCATTTCCCTTGCCTCTGCGCAGTGGCTTTAGAAATCATCGTGAGCTGTACGAGGCCCGATGACGATGTCACTGTCCCAAGCTACGATTCCCTTCCATCGTATAATCCAAAAAAACGACCATACTATGGCTGTTCTAAACCACTAGCACTGGATAAAGTCGCTGGCTGCTCTCTCTCTCCGCAAGTGAGCTGAGCTTCATGCTGCGTAAGTTGCACGCCTGACAGGCGTCAGCCTGCAAAGCCTCGGCGACCCAGCACCGCACGTCTTTGCCGAATCAAGAATACTCCCTTGCCGACGCTATGTCGCAACGCGGTTGTGTTCCAGCCGACGAGTACAGAAACAGCACGAAGAAAAAATACGACGAGGCTCCTGACGAGTGCAGGCTCCTGACCACATGTCATGCTTCGTTGGTTTTAAGAGTTCAGTCAGACTCATGGTTGCTACTGCGGCAAGCTCATTGCCAGTACGCCTACGCGAATAGGCCCAGCTCTTTTTGTGTTTGTTCACACCATCGCTACCTCTCAAGATCCTTCTCACAAAAATGAAAGCCGTTTCGCGTACATCTACAAACGAACATGTTCATGCTACGCTGCACACCTTTCGTCGCCTATCCCCAAAGACTGGAAACCCGGTACTTCTCGGCCCTTCTCTTCTGCCAGGCCGCGGTTCACCCTCACTTAGCACAATGGGCTCACCAGCTGCAGTCCTTCGTGTGAGGCACAAATTCCTCAAGTCAATTACAAGTCATAGTCATGTGTCCTTGGCAGTTCAACAACCGCATGCCAAGGATGCGCGGGAAAGTACCAGTCAGTGTCCTGCGGCAGCATTCGCTTGCAATTCGATTTAAGCTGCAAATACAGCGGCCTCACGACCCTTTCATAGGCTTCAGCCAAGCAACAATCAATGCGCTCAATATCCGGAAGCCTGACAAACACATAGTGACTGCTATTTCAGGCTGGCATAGAAATATGAACTGAGGGGGCATTGGCCATCCATTTAAGAGCCTCGCGTCGCTGCATGTTGGGAATATCACTCCTGGGAGGTGAACGCGCTACCACTTCAGCGTCGGATCTCAAGACTATCATTGCTGAGTCCAAAGCATTAGCACGGCCCACCTTGGGAGAGGTATTTCTGCAAAAGCACTGATTGGACTCCAGACTGTTCGCAACATGTTGTGACCTCCTCCGTGCATGTCTTGTTTCATGGGGTCGCTCAGTGTGGGCATGCCCGTTTCGACACAACTTCATGCAGAAGCAGCTGAGGACAAGCCAGTTCCCTCCCAAACTTCTGCAGGCAAGTCGCCCGGGCGGTGTCTGCAGATACAGGTATGTGGACACTTTGGCCTGATTCCTTAGGTCCAGCAAAACCCTTCTTGACAGTCTTTGCACACGTTGACCGCAGGGCTGCACAAAAAGTGAGTAGCAAGCCGTATCTCTGGATAGACATGCGGCGAAATGCGGTGAGGAAGCACCTGGCACACTCGTTGCGCAGTGAAGAAAGTACTGGAGCTCTCCAAACCTGCCACTGCAGCGTGCAGAAAAAGAAGATGATACTTGTTGCTTGCAAGCTATACTGTGACCTGAAAAATGACAAGGGAAAAAACGCTCGTGGAGTCCATTGCATTAGGGGTGGGTTGTGGGTGGGTCAAAAATCTGCCACGTTGAATTGCACTGCAAATGTGAATCCACAGTAGAAGGCTCCAAGGTTTCTGATGCGGATTTCCAGAAGGTCAAGATTGCCTGGCAAAACCCAGCTGCTTATGCAGGCAAACACTTCCTCTGTGAGTTAAGAGGTGAACAGAAACTCATTAGATTTCAGGTGAGCTTTGAATACCGAGAAGCGATAGATCCTATGGGTTTAAGCGTCGATAGATATGTCACAAGTCACATCACACGAAACGCTTTGATCTCTGGAACCATTAAGATCATTAAGCTCTGGAGGGCAGGTCCCCATTGTTGGATATGGCCAGACCCCGACGGAGAAGAACCAGAGCATACTCACGGGGCGCTTCTCAATAGTCAGAAACGCATGAGGCCTGAAGCCTTATGATTCCAAACAGTATGCATTGAACACTGGTATACATGTGCAGCAACCACATCTGATGGCATCCATTGCATCTCCCTTTACACGTTCTCTCCGTCCTCCGTGCTGCATCCCATTCCGAAGGTTCCATCCCTGCGATTCTAGCTTTCCCTTGGAGAGGACACCCGAACCTCGTGTGTTGGGAATCATGGCTCACATGCCCTGACATTTAAAATGAAACTTGTTCAATATGCGGTTCGGCTCCGTCGTTGTCACTCTGCGGTTTCAAGAAATTACGCCTGTCAATCTCACATATCATGTGATGGTGCATTGCCCAAAAATTGGGAATCTCGATGCTGGTTCATTGTCGGCCCAGGCCTGGACATACCACGTTGCTGCACACAGAGATACTTAGTAACACAGTACGAGCTCAGCCTTGTCGCATCAGAAGTCGTAGCTTCTGATCGCTCAGCTTTCAGTAGAAAATGTCGACGCTACGGAATCAACAGGCTGGCACCGCCTGATTCGGGTCCCACTGCCAGCAATTGTCCTGTCTCAGCTTGATACTCTGCAATCCAGCCAAGGACTTGGTTGTCTGCTCGCAACAATGCTCCTGGTCGAAGGCCCCAACATCTCCGCGGTCCTTCTCCGAGAGTGCCAGTTCATTTAATTTGGAGCTCTGAAGCAGATAGGCGACAGGCCAGCGCTGATCCGTAGCAAGCCGCTGAATTCTTACAAATCTGACACACAGTAGGGTAAAGAGTGCAAGCTCCTCGAGGTCTCCGCCGCCCACTTCCACCGAACTGTGGATTTCCCAGCCATCCTGTGAAGCAGGTCCACGAAGCCCAAACAAGGCCAGTATCTCGCTACATTTTTAAATACGGTATCTGTTCTCATGTAGAGCGGAGGGAACCACTTGCCAGAACGTAGTACAGTAGCATGACAAAATCCATCCTCACCAGGGTCAAACTGGATCTCAAACGGGTTGATAACATCCTCGGAGGCAAAGATGACATGGGTGGAAGTTCCGGTTGGTCTCTAGCACTGAAGACAAGATGCCCAGCCGAAAGCAGAAGCTGCCTCAGGGCAAAATCATGTTCTGAAAGATAGTGGCTGAGCCTCTGCATATCGGACATCTCTGAACATGCCAATGTGCCTGCATCGGCGGGCATTGCTCGGGCCAACCGGAGCCTTGCCGTTTCTCAACATAGCTCCGCTGCGCCGGCACCTTGACGGGAGATGACAGCAGCGCCAACGGCATGTCACATTGAGGGAGACTGACGCAGGGTCTCGGAACACGTGGCTCTCGCAAAGTCTTGCGGAAGCTTAGTGTTACTTGGTGCCTGTTCTCAACTAGCATCAGAATACGATGTTACCGGCCCATTACCTGCGGCACCACTCCTTGTGAAGGCCGAGTACAAGGTTTAACCCTGCCCTACTTGCACTGGTACATCCTGCCCATGCACCGGGTGCGGCAACTCTGAGTGGAAGCGGAAATAGCGAAGCACGCTGGGAACGGCAGCCCTGGAGGTGTCAGATGCACGAGCAGCAACTTTGGCCTCATTTGCGGCTTTCACGCTTCCAGTTTTTAACGCCCCGGAGCTTCAGGCCACCAAGGGCTTCTGGGCTGACTGGGTAAACTATCTTCACAAATTTCAGCGGGGATCCTACTGGCTGGTCCCTTCTCAACAATGCATGAGGTAAGTATACCACCCGCCATTAAGCCCACTGTTCGGATAGGTGTATAGGGGGCCCTGCAGCTGAGGCGCCAGCTGCCCGTGCCAGCGCTAGAGTCCCCAAGGCTGACTGAGCTGTCAAGCTCATCCGAAAGCCTGCCTGGTGCAGGGGAAGCTGGGACCATTGAATACTAGTTACTAGTGGCAGAGCCAGTGGAAACATCTAGCCACGCTTCCTGTCCTGCTGTGCCATCCCTGGTGTCCGACCGATCCGAAGCCGGTCCACTATAAAATTAACAAGTGGGCGGATACTGAACTCCAGGTCGAGCATTCATGTTGCATTTTTAGCCCCACATATGCTGATGTCGGATCTGGCTGTCATACGAGGTCTTGGTTGCAATGCTTCTACCTCTTGAACGCTGGTACTTATCTTGGTCCAAGGGACATGTTCTGATGTTCTTGCCGAATGTGCATGTTCAACTGCTATTCCCGTGCTTGACAGTCCATCGCATCTCTTCTTCAATAGCGGCTCATATCCACGAGTCTTGCTTTGCTACCAGTATGTCACGTCACCGGGCATCGCAAGTGGCAAAGACCTCATCCTGAGAGGCAGGCCTCAAGCTTGCGTGGCGCAGACTGACGAGGCGGGCGCAGAGGGGCATGGGTGGGAATGCCTCGCCAGCATGCAAGGTCTTTCATGCCTGAAGGAAGGTATGCCACTCTGCGGCACGATTTGGTGCAAAATCATGCAGTTCCTTCCCACCACCGCCTGCTCCGCAAAGGAGCATGTTCTGAACAAGCACAATTACGCAAAGAATTTGGATGCTCTTGCCCCGTCGGTTTCAGGGCAAGGTGCTGCGTTGCTGCAGTGTGTAGATGCTGGCTTTTTTTTGGAGTCCTCATCTTGTTCAATGTGATGCTACATTGGTTTGTGTTTTGAGCCAGAAAGAGCTGCCAGTGTCTACGAAGATGTTCAGCAAGGACTTGCAGAATGTCAGTGCAGCTAGCACATCCAGCAGCCTTTGCAAGAGCAATCTTTCCACACAAAGGCTGCGAATGGAAGAGGACAGCAGCTGCAGGGGAAGGTGCAGAAGCCGACCGCGCAGTCAGCACCACAGCTGAAGTGGCATCACATACCATTCAGCTACCAAAGCGGCTTCCTGGCCCTTTTGACAACAGGAGCCAAAGTACAATCTGCACCGCCGTTCCTTTTGAACGCAGGGCACCAGTGCATTTCACCTCGCAGCACCCCTCACCGAGGCCCAACCCCGGAGGCGTGGATGAAGGTACTTGGGAGGCCGACCGCTGATGACACTCAGGCAAACCGAGGGTAGAGGCAATCCTATGATTCTTATGTAGATGCCCGCCCTCTGAGCCTCTCGACTTCCGCAAATTGCTTGCTAAAGCACAGGTCTCCCAGCTTCAAAAGCTCACAATCGCAAAGACCGTGCATTTGGTCGTGCAGTTTGCGGTGGATACGCTTTTGAATGTACCCTGCCCGTCCGACATCCTGCAGAAGCAACGCCTGGTCGTGCAGAGAACTGGAAGCATGCAAAGGCAGCCGCCCAACAGCCCTGGGGGGGCATGTCTCAAAGCACCTGCATCCTTGGATGGGCGATTCGGATAAGCAAGGCCGATCCGCATAATCCAACGTGACATGAATGCTTGGCCGCAGCGAGGTGCTGGTCTCATGAGGAAGGAGCATGTCTAATTCCAAGACCTGTTTGCCCTTTGAGTGTGTCTCTTCTGCTTTTGCACCACCAGTTAGAGGCAGCGTCTCTGAAGCATGCAGAAGAGGTTGCATGCCTGGCTTCACAACTGTAGCAAAGCTGGGCAGGCTCTGTGCTGGAAACGAATGGATCCCAGGCCCAGCTCCACAGTGCTCTGCCAGTCGATTCCAATCGGCTGTACAGCCGAACTCTGCGCCGGCTCTGAGAAAACTTTCGGCTTGGCTGCTCTTCCCGAGTCGGCAGAGCTCCACCAGCAAGGCTTCCCAGAGAACCTGTGATGGCATGCCTTTTCCTTCTCGAAGCCAGCACATCCATATCTCGCTTTCTTGCAGGATACACTCTGTCAAGTAATCAAACTCATTAGGTGTTGCAGACATGACTTCCACATTTGACACCAAGGAAGTTCTTGGAGAGCTCGATCTGCTGTCTGAGTCCTGGTCCGTCCACATCTCAGGACCTTCGCTTTCCGGACCTGGCTTGGACCAGCTCGGTGCGGCAACAAGACCAGCTTCCCGCAGCGGCTCTACGAGCGAACGCCCGCCTTTGTCTGCGAGGCATTCCCAATAAAGAGCTGGGAAAAAGGAGCATCAAGTGTCACATCTTCTTATCTGTTTCACTAAGCCTGCGGAAGCCCTTCCTCAGGCTTAAAGTTCATCGCAGCAAATATGGCTGCATTCTTAGTAAGGATGTCTATTCGGCGATGGCAAGCACGGAATCCTTCTGTTATTGTGCTTTATTGTTGCTCCCAAAGCCCGAAAGCCTGCCCCGTCTTGCAAGGTACCATTTCCTTCAAAACCTGGACCTGTGTCCTCCTTCAAAACAAAAAGTCTGAGGAAAAATGATTGAGCACAGCAGAAGACATGATGGCTGAAGCGTGCTGATGCGCGCACACACTTAGCGTGCCTACTGTGCAAGCTGCTGAATGGCTCGCATCCCCACTTCCAGCATGGCTCAACTCTGGCACGGCGTGCTGCATGAAGGTATATTGCCGCAGGTCTTCGACGGCTTTCGGGTTGGATTCATTAGGTGCTGTTCGGCTTCGCTGTGGGTAATGGTATTGGGGGGTTTGGGGCCGGGTTCGTTACCGAGAATAGTCGCTGAATTGTCGTCATTTCTGGTCGCTAAAAAACTGGGCCGTTACTCTGCATTTTGGGTGTGTCAGGCTGGATTCATTGCCTTGCAGGCCCCTAGCCCAGGCGGGGTGGTCTGCAACGCTTTATTGTTTGCAAGGCTTGCTTGCCTCTTCTTTTTGCAGCCCTCCAGCATCCCGCACTGAGCGGCTATTGGGCACTTTGGGGCTGGTTTTGTGGGAGTCTCAGTCGGTTTACTGCCTTGCGAAGCGTTGAGGGTGGGTCTGCAAGACATTCTTCAAGACCTGGCGTGGATTATGGGGTGCTGTTTGGGTGGAACGCGCAGGCCCAGACTTGTGCTGCCAAAGTGTGGATGCACTACAAACCATGCTTGGGCGACGCCTGGCAGTCCTTCGATCGGTTTGTCAATTTCCGCATCAACATTTGTTTCCACAGACGTGTCTGACGCATGGATAAAGTTGCGGGAGCCTGCAAGGCATGAGGGCGTCACCATGCCTTGTAAGGGGTGGTTATGGAGAGCTTGGGCGGTTCGCGAGGGTTGAGGGGGTACACAAGTCATTAAATAGGAGAGGGATGATGCTTTACCTTTAATGACATGATGAGGTAAGCACATAAAACCTGACGCCGTTTTCTTCCGAGGATCAATTTGTGATTCTCATGTAATGACAGTGCCCTGGCTAGTATGAACGCAAGCTGACTACCTAACCCATCCCCTGGCTTCAGGCAAACCTGTCAGGGGACCCAGGCAATCCAGTCCAGGAGTCCTTCATCCCAGCCAGGGCAATCGAGACTCATAGAGCTTTCCCCGCAGTGGGACTCACAGTCACTGGCTATGTTGTAGCTCTCCAGTCGCCCGCGTGACCTCAAGCAATGCTGCGGCCGTGGCCACCTTGGGGGGTCTGGGACTGGCCGGTCTGTTGCCAGCAAGGTTCAGATGAGCTAGAAGGCAACTAGATGGAGTTACTTCGAGCAAAAACAAGTTGGATAACACCGAAGGTCATTAGGATTCCCAACAGTCTCCTCTTGGATCGCTGGCATGGTGCCAGGGAAAACGCTGCAACATCTTCTGATTTTACATGGGTGTCCATGGCCCACATCCCCGCCGATTGCATTTACTTAGCTGTTTTGGGGGTATGGCTGTGGCTGCAAGTGGCACGGCAAGTTTCAGTGGAAGTGCTGCAGTAGTGAAGGTTTGCATGCTGCCCTCCATGTTTCCCCCAGCATCCATTGCTCCTGCTACATGGGGAATATTGCCCTCGTGACAAATGCCTCAAGTGGCTTAGTCCAGCAGCTGGTAATTCAGGTGTGTTGTACCTTGGCATGGCATGTCTTTCATCTTCCACAGACGGACCTCAATTTGCCCTTCTGCCCTGCTCCAGCTGGTAGTGAGACATCGTCCCCAACAGTAAGCAACAGTGATGCCTAGCAATCAAAAGCTGCCATGTCACTCACATCACTCCCTCAGATATGGTCATCCCGCTTTCGAAACGAGGGATTTTGCTTTGCGGGGTTGACGGTCTGGCCGCCGGGCCTTTAGGCCCCCCCTTGTGTGTCGATCCACTTCTGTGAAGCCCATGTCGGCTAAGGGTTCCCGCAAACAAAGTCCCGCCGACCATCGAAAAAAACAACAAGAACCAAACAGTGAGAGACCAGTAGGCCAGTTTGGTTCGCTCTTTCTCTGGGTGCTGGGCCAGACCATGCTGCACATGCTGGCTACTTCATCGTCTTCATCTCCGATGAAGAAATGGACTGGCGATGTGCTTCCTGGCTGCTGCATTGCTGCATCAAGAAGCCAGGCGCTCTCGCAGACTCGGTGAAGCCGTGACAGCCCCGAACCCCAACCCGTCTGTCATCGTCTGCCTACAGCTGTCGTTGCCACACTGCCAGCCGAGCTCGCAGTCTCAGCGCTGTGAGGCGGCTCTGCACCTTTTGGATGAAGCTTAGAGGCTCAGAGGGCTCAGCGTACGCCTTTCGCTGCAGCTACAGTACAGCAACACGAAGTTTAGCAAAGCTACCGTAAACAGAAAGCATCACAGAAGCTGTGGACAATCGACATGAAACAGCTTGGTGCAGATTGAAAAAATGAGCACAGGCTCCAGCATGTTTTAGCGCTAACGTAGCTGCTGCTTTTCAATCACAGGCAGAAGGCTGAAGGCCGCACACTCCCAACAGCCGTGAGCATTGGCACGACAGTGCTGGTCTAGCAGCTCCCGGAATGCCTGCACAGCATCTCCTGCGTCCACGAACGCAGCTCAAGGGGCTCACCCGCCTCATCTAGCGTACTTGGTCCGAGCAAATCCTGTCAATCCGTGCGTTGCAACATCTGTAGCAGATAGCGCACAACCTTGGCCTCTTCTTCATCGCGAGGAAGCCAGTTCCATGTACCCTCGAAGCTCAAGTCCCTATCCAGCGGCTGCCACGTCATCGGCTCCGGCCTGGAAGCTTCCCCAACGTCTTCTACAGCGCAGTGCACATCGGGCTTTGAGGGGCGAACCGCGCCGTGCTTCCAAGCCTTTGGGGGCAAATGCAGGCCCTCCTCTGTCTCCTCTTCTTCTGTAGTTTCATGGAAGGTGTGAAGTCTGCATGGCGTTTACCTTTTTGTGGTCTAGCCTGACTTGTCTGCAAGCTTCAAGTACATCTGTACATTTGTCAACGGACAGTGGTCATTGCGAAACTTATTGTGGCAGTAGTACCCACCACTGAAGCAGCGCTTGTTGGTGTTTCTGCCACCATCTGCCCAATAGCAATCATCTACAGAGTCATGACCCATGAAGAATCCTTAGCAACGGCATTAACGCTTCTTCCACTGTTGCTCATCCGAAGCTCACGCTCCCACCTTCTTTCGATCTTCCCAAGGAAAGTCTTGCACCCCGCTTAACAGGTAAGGCCCAAGGTCGGTTGCACGACTGTCGCCCTCCGAAGTGATAAGCGTCAAGAATGCCGACGTTCAGGTCCTGCATGCAGGTCGCTCTCATCAAGCAGCTCACCGTTTCATACACGACTAATTCAACAAGCAAATTATGCATTTCAATCCTTGTACCCCGTGTCCAAGTTTTTCGGCATCCTATCTCCCACAAACTGATATGCACCTTGGTCAAAGAGGATTGGAAGCCGTTCCATCAGCCGGACGCCGGGCCACACTTAAGCTGTATCTGAAAACTCTCTCAAGAGCCGCACTGTAGCGAGGGAAATCGAAATTTCTGCGCGTGTCGGTGTAGTTGCGGTCCCGTACGCGGATGTAGTAGGCCAAATTCGCTTCCTCACAAGTTCGATGACTGGGTTGCCACGTGTGGCAGCCGCCACCTCAGCCAAAAAAGCAACCTTCCCAGTCCTTGGCCGTGACTTTAAAGACGCTGAAGAGATGTCCGCTAGCTGGCCCTCGCAGCTTGTTGGCCATCATCAGATCATTTATCCTTAGATAATGGTTTACTGTTCAGGTTGTCGAGTACAGTTGAACTTGTCCCTGAATCACTTGCTCAAAGGTCAAAAGAGGTGTGGAGTAAGCCCAAGGCACAAGCCTAGAGTTCTGCAGACATCCGGCGTGTCTTTCAAAATGCAAGCTAGGATTCAAGCTGTCGTCAAGTTTGCCATCGCCTGGACCACTTGTTCTCACAGTTCCGTAGGCATTGCTCTGCCTGAGGGGAAGTCTCCATTCCAAAGTACTCAGAGGATGCCCATGCTAGCAGCTGCTAGCACCACTTCTGCTCGTCCCACACTTGTTTAACGTCTCCAGAACGAAGTCTGGAATACCATAAGACTGATGGCAATTTTGGCTTTGTCCCCCTGTGCCTTTCATAAAGGCCTTGGGTCCACTGGTTGATCTTCACCCAGCGACCATCATCATCAATCAGGACGAAGCCAGGCAACTCAGAAAGTATACTCATGATGGGATCTACTGCACAAGGTTAAGCAAGTACATGACTGCGGCAAGGCAGTTGGTTAATGGCTTTGCCCGTTTTTTTTAGTCTGCCTCTGATTCATGGAAGATTATTTGCTATTTCAATTGCACGAAAAATCCATTTCAAAACTGGCTCCTGCAAAAACACCTAGACCTGGTCGTTGTCAACATAAGAAGAAGCAGTGGCAGCGGTAGTGGTGGTGAGGCTTGTTAGCATTCATGAGGCAGTAGGAGCAGTAGTTGCAGCAGCTGCAGTAGCAGTGGTAGCAGCAGCAGGGGGGGCCAAGGGTCACTTAGCCAACAAAAACGCGGGTCACTTAGCCAATCCCGAACCCGAACGGCTTCGAGTCACTTAGCCAACAACAACGCGGGTCACTTAGCCAATGTTCAGGGTTTTCGTGCGAGAAGTGTGGCGGTTTACGCTTACTTGACCGAAAAACCGGGGGTCACTTAGCCAATGTTCAGGGATTAAGGTGTAGGGGTTTAGGGGCTTTCACTTAAGGTTTAGGCTTAGGGTTTAAGGCTAGGGTCTAGGGTCTCGGGTTTAGGGTTTTAGGGTTTTACGGTTTTAGAGTTTTAGGATTTAGGGTCTAGGGTTTAGAGTTTAGGCTTCAGGGTTTTTGGAATTAGGCTTTAGGGTTTAGAGTCTACGGTTTAGGTCTTGGGGTTAGGGTTTGGGTTTGGGGCTCGGGGTCTGGAGTTTGGGGTTTAGGTTTTGGGGTTTTAGGTTTAGGGTTTACGGGTTTGGGATAAAGCATTTAAAGGTTTTGGATTTAGGGTTTAGGGTTTGGGGGTTTTGGGTTTAGAGTTTAGGGGTTTTCGACTTAGGGTTTAGGGTTTGGGGGTTTTGGATTAGGGTTGAGGGTGGTTTTGGGCTTGGGGTTTAGGGAGAACGTAATTTGGATTTAGGGTTTAGAATTTTGGGTTTCTGGATTTAGGGTTTAGGGGTTTTGGATTTAGGGTTTGGCGGTTTTGGATTTAGGGTTTAGGGTTTAAGGGTTTTGGATTTAGGGTTTAGGGTCTAGGGTTTAGGTGGTTTTGGGTTCAAGGTTTAGGGGTTTTGGATTTGCGGTGTAGGGGCTTGGGATTTAGGCTTCAGGGGAGCTTTAGGATTTAGGGTTTAGGGATTCTGCGTTTAGGGTTTAGGGTTTGGGGGTTTTGGATTTAGTGTTCAATGTTTGTGAGTTTTGGGTTTCGGAGTTTTGGATTTAGCGTTCAGGAGTTTTGGATTTAGGGTTCAGGGTTTGAGGTTCAGGGGTTTTGGATTTAGGGTTTAGGGTTTTGGTGTTTTGGAGTTAGGGTTTAGGGGTTTAGGGATTTGGGGGGTTTTGGATTTAGTGTTCAGGGTTTAGGGGTTTTGGATTTAGGGCTTAAGGGTTTGGGGGTTTTGGATTTAGGCTTTATAAGGGTTTTGGGGTTCGGGGTTTAGGGATTTTGGATTTAGGGTTTAGGGGTTTGGAATTTAGCGTTCAGAGGGTTTTAAGATTTAGGGTTTAGGGGTCTTGGATTTAGAGTTTAGTGTTTGGGAGTTTTGGATTTAGGCTTTAGGGGTTCTGGGTTACGGGGTTTGGGATTTCGGGTTTAGGGGTTTAGGGGTTTGGGATTTTTTAATCGGACCTTTTCTCCGCAGCCTGAGGGTCTATGGAAATGCCCTGAGGCGCAGTCCCTGTGGGATTTAGGGTTTAGGGTTTAGGGTTCAGGGTTCAGGTGTTTTGGATTTAGGGTTTAGGGTTTTTGGATTTAGTGTTCAGGATTTGAGGTTCAGCGGTTTTGGATTTAGGGTTTGGGGTTTGGGTTTTAGGGTTCTGGGGTTTTGGATTGAGGACTTAGGGGTCTTGGACTTAGAATTTAGGATTTGGGGGTTTGGGATTTAGGGTTTACGGTTTAGGGGTTTGGGATTTAGGGTTTAGGGGGTTTGGATTTAGGGTTTAGGGGTTTTGGATTTAGGCTTTAGGGGTTTGGGATTTAGGCTTCAGGGTTTTGGATTTAGGGTTTAGGGTTTGGTGGTTTAGGGTTCAGGGGTTTGGATTGAGGGTTTAGGCTTTAGGGGTTCTGGATTCAGGGTTTAGAGATTTGATTTAAGGCTTAGGGTTTTGGGTGGTTTGATTTAGGAATGGGTTTAGGGTTTAGGGGTTTTGGGTTCAAGGGTTTAGGGGCTTTGGATTTAGGGTTTAGGGTTTGGGGGTTTTGGAGTTAGGTTTTAGGGGTCTAGGGGGTTGGGGTTTAGGGTTCCTGGGGTTAGGATTGAAGGTTTAGGGGCTTTGGATTTGGGGTTTAAGGGTTTGGGATTTAGGGTTTAAGGTTTTTGGATTTAGTGTTCAGGCTTCAGCGGTTTTGGGTTTACTGTTTAGGCTTTGGGGGTTGGTGGTTTAGGGCTCTGGGGTTTGGGATTTAGGGTTTCGGGGTCTTGGATTTAGGATTTATGGTTTGCAGGTTTGGGATTGGGGTTTAGGATTTAGGGTTTAGGGTATAGGGGGTTGGGATTTAGGGTTTAGGGTTTGTGGGTTTTGGGTTTTGGGGTTTTGGATTTGTTTCTGTCAACTATCTAAGGACCCCCATAATGCCCATTTTAGCCCTTCATGTATCCTTAAGGTCCCCAAAGGCATCCTGCCTGGGAAATAATCAACTTTTCCTTCCTTCCCTCGCTCCTTTCTTCCTTGTTTCCTTCCTTCGTTCCTTCCTTCCTTTGATCCTTGCTTGCTTGCTTCCTTGCTTCCGTATTTCTTTCCTTCCTTCCTTCCCTGAGTCCTTCCTTCGTTCGTTCGTTCGTTCGTTCCTTCCTTCCTTCCTTCCTTCCTCCTTCCTTCCTTCCTTTCTTCCTTCATTCCTTCCTTCCATCCCTGAGTCCTTCCTTCCTTCCTTCCTTCCTTCCTTGCTTCCTTCCCTTTTTTCCTTTGTGCTTCCTTCCTTCCTTGTCTTTTTTAGATCTGCACTTCTTCCTTTCGTCACGCTCTCACACTTTCTGTCTATAGTTCGTGCGGAAAGTTTTGTTTGGATCGTTAAAATTGTTTTTCATTCCTAAAATGTTTTTTATCCTTAAAAAATGTTTTTTTGATACGCATCCCTAGTAGTAAGAGGACGACAAGGACCACCTGCTGCTCCTGCTGGTCCGGATTGTGCGTGCTGCTGCTGCCGCCACCGCCCTGACCAGCACCAGCACCAGCATCACCAACTAAAGCCCTAGTACTTGCAGTGGACTTAATACTGGTTCTTGTCATCATTGTTGTTGCTGTGGCGATGACGATAACTACAGACTAGGAAGTCTCACACAAATTGTCGTCCGCCGGCTTGCCTGCTTGCCTGCTCGCCTGAACTTGCCCTGCTCCGCTTGGCGGGCCAGAGCATGCCCGCATTCAGGCCACACTGAAAAGCCACAAGCCTTCTCAAAGTGTCATCCAAGGGCACTGTTGTCGTGGTGGTTGTGTCGCAGAACACAGCTTGAAGACACAGCTTCCCCTCGACTCCGCACCTGCGTGCACATCAGTCCAACTGGTAGGTTACGCTACCCGGGACAGCGCCGCAGGGACACAAATTGAAGCGAGATGCAGCTTCAATATTCTGAGGTGTCTTCGTAAGTGCTGAATGCCAGACAGGCGGCTGCATGTAAGCACCCCCACCCGCTGCAGTGTACGTGTTTGCGCACTTGTCGGCGCTTACATCGGGGCACGACCAGGCTTCCTGCGCCATGCCCAGAGTTAAGCTTTTACCCGGTATCTGCTGGACATTCAAGTTAGCAGTGGATGTCCAGAACTACCATCCTTGCCTCATCCATGAACCGGCCAGTGCAGATCTTGAACTGCTCCAATGGATCGTTATCCCGAGCCTGATGGCACACGGCGTTGAAAAAAGAGAAGGGTCCGGCTTCATGGCCTGAAGCCCAGAGACGTCACATGATTGTGGCTCAGTATAGCACATTCATGAAGAAGGGGGGAAGCCAACAGGCGCTGCATGACTAATGCTCTCACGTCCGTCAAACACTTCTCCTACAGAACACCCACATCGAGTAGAAAATGCCAGCGCTGCAAATTCGTTGGTTGGACTGTGTCATTCAGTGCCAAGCGTGCTGCCTTTGCTAGGCGAGTGGAAACATAGACATTGAACGTCCCTATCAAATGATACGCCCCAGCTGGCCCCCAACTTATTACTGAGCTCGTGATACAGCCAACTAATTAAGTCTGGCCTTAGGATTCCAAAGCTCCATCGCAAAGACTGAGCTGACCTTCCGGTATTCCTTGCAAACTACGCACCCCTCAAGCATGGCCCAGCCTGCACGAGAACACATACCAAGCAAACAAATAGACCTGATCCAGTGCGCATCTGTCTGACGTCTCGGTTTCCTCGGCTTGCCCAAGCAGGGAACCAAAAAGCCTATGCCTAAGGTACAGTCTCCATTGGGGTGTCGTCACCGATGAGGTCTCTACGATCTGCAACACAACATTCTTGGCTACTGTGGTCGACCTGCCTCATCCTGCTACAGTCCATGGATACCAGAGTTGACCAAGGAGCTTATGTAGTGGTATCGGGAGCAAACATACGACTGCCATTGTTCCGTTCTTGAAAGATTGAATGGCGGCGAGCAGCCAAGGTTTGAAACATGCAGTTTCTCAAACATCCAACATGATCGTGTCTGAACAGCTAGTGCAAGACGCATAGGATCCCCCGATGCTGGGCATCCCACGCCGTAAGGATGCCATTCCCCTGCTTTTGTTCCCGCAGTTGGCACTACTTGAGCCCAGATGATGCAGGATGTCGTAGGACAGTACTAAGGCCATACAACGAGAGGAAGGCAGATGACTGCAGTGCTGACAAAGCCTCTGAGCAAGCACGCTGCAAGACACGCTTCATCCAAGCTAAGGCGTCATGACTGTGACAAGCCTTTTGCGTTGCTCGCCTGCTTAAACGATGGTTTTGCTGTCGATCAAGTCACATCAAGCAGAGAGGCAGAACACTCTACCTGTGGTTCCGTCTGAAAGTAGCCAGCGCACTGAGGAAGGCATCAATGTCACTGGGCAAGTTGTAAACATGCGGTGCTACCCGCAAAACTCCAGCCCGCGAGGAAACGTGAATACCTCAGCCACTCTGGGATGAGACTTAAGCCGCCTGTGCGGCGAGGCAATTGCACGAATTTCAGGGGAAGGTCGAGCAGGTGCATGCTGAGATGATATGTTTTGACAAAGTTTGGCTTGCTCCGTCGAACGTCAAACATGGTGCAAGAGGTGTTCATAGTCTGCGGATGCCTTCGGTTCATCCCTGGATTCAAATTTGAGCACAGCCTATTTCTAAGGGGATAATAGCCCAGAGCTGTGAAGCTTTTCTATGAGTTCGTAAAAAACACATGCAATCTGTTCAGATCCAGTCCTGGCTTCTACTTCAGAATAACAAATGTGCTTGAAATGCGTTTGTAGGCGCCGTTTCTCTTCATGTTTGCAGCTGCAGCGTCAGCCCATCGTTCTGCAGCCAGCGATTGGCTGCAAGGAGGATCATGACCCTGAATTTCCCCATCAATGTCTTCCTGGGTCAGACACAGGCATCATACTTGCAGAGTGAATGAAGCTCCGGCAGAGGCTAAGTTGCGGACAACATTTGGGCCGATTCCAAGGAAGTGTGGCGCATGCCATGATGGCACGTGGAGGCCCATTCTGGTGGCGCCCTCTGCGCATTGTGCCCTGGCACGTGTGGACATCACAAGATCAGTTAGGCGACATCAACCTCACGTCAGCTCGACAAACTTGGCCAAGCCACGTTAGTGGCGCAAGGGTTGTGCTGATGCGGTCAGGGTGCCAATCCAGGACCTATCGCAGCGGACGCGGCCTCCGACTGTAGCTGCAAGGAACTGGAGCGGCCTGCTTCAGAGCCCTGGCAACCATGGGCATTAGGATCGGATTCACGCGGCCGCCCGCGTCGAACTTCTTTGCGCCCTCCTGGAAGTCTTCCTTAGGTAGAGATCTGCCAGGTCGTCAACGGCAGACTTGCAGGGCAACATGCAATGACATCGGCTGATTCATCTGAAGGCTCTGAGTAGCCCGGCACGTCGAGATCAAACGGAAGGCAAATGTCGCCATCTGCACCAAGGCGGTTGTGTTCATCCTGGACGATGGGCTCTGTCACTGGCTCCTGGCTCCACTCAGGCGCCACGTAAACCTTATCAGGAGGAATGGTTTTGGAGGCAAGCGCGTCTCGCACCAAAGAGGAGAGCATTTGTCGCCATAAAGCACGCCAAGATGCCAACGAAAGGCCATAAGGCCCGAAGAGCCATTTGTGCACAGAGCATGCTAACCAGTCAATGCCCCACGATTCCGCCTGGATTGGCACCACACCTGTCCAACAAGGTCAGACCACCGTGGTGCTAGTAGAAGCCAATTGCAGAAGAGAGCCACTAGCCTAGGGACTGAGTGGCATCCACCACCAACACAGTTCGCTGCCCCTGCATGACTTCGTCCAACACCTCGGCCAGCAGGTTTGCGGCTGAGGTTTGTGGATGGGCTGCCTCATAAGTTGCAGGGCCTTCATCTTGGAATCAATGCAAGCTTCAGATGTCAGCTGCCTTGAAATTTGATCCCCTGACACCCTTGGCCAGTTACAGGCAGTGGGTTCTGCAGCTGTGGTACCGATCGCAAACGATGCAGATTGATAGGCCCAGAACCATCGGTCCACAGGAAGTGGGGAACAGCCACCACTGCGATCCGGGTGCTCTGCGCGTGAAGCCGAATAGCGGCTTCCAGCGCGTGGTCCCAAGGGGACAAAACCATCCCTGACAGTGAGGAATCCGTTCCTCGACATGCGAGACCGCGGAAGTCCATGAACGTGCAGCCAGAAGCAAAAGCCATGCATAGCTAGTGAACCAAGACAAGCTGCGCCCTGTCTAAAACTTCCCTGAGACAACTTCCCAGCCACTCTGGCGCTTTGGCTGTCGATCGGCTTCCTCGTCTGGCTGCGGCTGTGGGACGGCCACCAAGCGCGCTCCACTTTCGCGGCAAATGCGCTGCCAGGCGTAGACGTTGGAGCTCATCTGATTCTGCAGGACAAGGATTATCTCACCTGTGGGTGTCTTGTCTTTCAATTCAGAGAAACTTCATCCAAAAATATCCTTCCCCAAGCAAGCCTGAAGACACACGTCCAGACCTCAAGATGTTGTGCGCCGCCTGCGAGATGGCATATGACGTGGAAGGCGTGAGCGCGATGTTCTGGGGACTCGCCCTGACCAGCTGCCCAAACAACGCCCGCACTTCATCAGCGGTCCCGTTGTCAGAAATTCGCCATGGCTGATTCTTCAGGGACACGGCCTCGTGACCTCGCTGCTCGACCTCACGAAGCTCATTGCAGCTCTCCATCGCATCCTACACCCAGGTTCTCAAAAGATTCAGATCAGTGACTGATCGAAGCATTGGCGAACGAGAGGCACAATTCAGGTAAACCACGCCTTCCGGCAAGAAAGCTGCCGCATTGTCTAGCTGAACAAATTGACACCCTTGCCTTCTGGAAGCGAGAAGAGGTGCTTCTGACAAGTCAGGCGTCCATTCTGATCGGGTTGACTGCCACTTTGGGCTGGTCTTTGCACCTGGAAGCTGTCACGTTGAGAAGTTTCAGATGACCATCTGGCTGCCGCTAGCTCCCGCCGGCAACTGAAGCAAGTCCCAGAATCTGTCAAGGCCTGAATGACAAACAGAAATTGAGTTTAGCGCTGAGCTCCCCATTGCCAGGCACGGCTTGAGAAGGTACAAGCTGTGCAGCTATTCGGCGTTCAGGCTTCTACTTCTTACAGGTCCTCCCAATGCAACTGCGCCATACATATCCATACATCTGCATTCTGTTTGTCCCTCTTGTAGCGTGGGGACTACTACAATCCGGGAAACAGTTTTCATTGACAGACTGCTACACCCTGACTGCAGTGGCTGTTTTTTAGAGTACGATAGATACACTTGGTAGGCTCGGCAGCGCAACACCTGCCCTTTTTGGGAAGGCAAAGCCTGCAGCTTGAGCCAAATGCAATTGTACTTTCTGGCATAGGCGAGGTCTGTTGCAGACGACGTGCAGCAATGTTGCAATGTGAGCGTGAGCCCAACGGCCACAGCTTCGTGCGGGCCCCATGTGACAATTGCCTTCCACCTCATGGAGATATCCGCTCTCGGTTTTCAGGCTTTCTGGAGGCATGTATTGCCACCAAATGCCGGCGCACTCCTGCCAGACGCTGCATGCTGGAACTAGTTGCCAGGCCAAGGCAACGGCCTAGCTCCACAGGCGACGATGTTACAGCCCTAACTCACAGGCCCATCCATGAACAAGTAGGCTTAGCAATCCTGAGGGTCTGCACTCTGGAACCACTGGAAGACACATGCTGCAAGCTGCATGCTCAACATCCAAACGCAGGGCCTGACTACCGAATCCTCGTTTCTTCAGCAGGTCCTGCAAGCAACCAGATCCGCAGCTGCAAAGCGGTCGCTGTTCTCGCGCTGCCCGTTCTTCCTCCCAGCGTTTCAGGTGCGGACTGCACCGGGTATGAGCTTAAATGTGGGCAGGTAGAGCATGATCGCACCTCATCCAGCTGTCGATGAGGGGGCTTCACAGGCTGACGGCTGCGAAAGCCCTGCTTGGATGGCTTCAGGCGGCCGTTGAAGTGCAAGATCTTCGCCTCGTGCGTCTGGAGTTGGTTGTCAACCCTGTAACACCGGTCTACCCGCCTGATGTGCAAGTGGAGAAATGTGAGGCGAAAGCGCCCAGCCCTTGCAGCCTGGTAGAATCGCGCACGTGTATGCATGCCCACACAACATGCCGGTAGACTAGCCCTAACCATCTTCTATCCAGGTGTCTCTTGCGTGAGCGCCTTTGAATGCCAGAATTCTGACTTTAAAATGTTGAGTTGGCTGTTTGGCAAGCTGGCTGGCCTGGGCAGCAATGGAACTTGCACTTAAGCAGGAAGCCGTCAAAGTAGCTGCTCCACTTCTTATGCTTCTTGTAGAAGTCCACCTCCTCAGGAGCAATGTCACCGCGGCCCAGGCCGCGAACGTTGAACTCAGCACCTAGGTCATGATATCTGCCGGCAACGGCCAGCAGGAATGGGGGCTGAGAGACACCAGCTCTCCAAAGGGGCCCGAGACCCTTCGTCAGATGCAGGCGCACCAAAGCCTCGATTGTACTGGTGATGTTGCTTGCAGCCCACTGGGAGGTGTCCACCAGCACAACACCGCGATTCACGACACATGTTTTCTTGTTGGCATGCAGTGTGAGAGGCAACTTGCTCTCAACAACGCTGGTTTTCACTCGACTCATGTCCACATACTTGCCCAATCTTTGTGAGCAATCCTCGGCGGCGGCCGCAGGCTTACCGTGCAGGTCGATGCCAATCAGATCGGCTAAGTCAGAGGTGACCACCACGTCTGTGTCCAAATACAGCACTCGCCCGGCCTCCGGGAGGGCCTCGTGCAAGTAGAAGGCTGCGAAATTCAGCTCGTCAAAAAGCTCCTTCCTGGCCGACGACTGGCCACCAAGCAGCTGCCGGACACGGGGAGCCCAGGGGTCAAAGTCCACTGCTGAGACGTCAAGCTGAAAGTTCAAGAGCCTCTCCCTGACATGATTGATGAGTGGGCCCGCATCCTGGCCGGTAGTCAGGATGCGGAACTTCAACTTCGAGGAGTTCATTGCATTAGAGAGCGCAGAATTAATCACCACGAGAACCCCGTCCAATTGCTTGGTATTAGCGGCAAGGGCCACTGTCAGAGTCGCGGAGTGCAGTTTGCCAGGGCTGGTGCCTGCAGATCTCGTTGTGTGCGATGGCTCTGCTGTATTCGCGGATGGGTGAAATTCCTGCACCAAAGGAAGGACCTCGGGAAGAGCCATGACATACCCGCTAGCCAAGCTGTTGCTCATTCCACACCTTGCGCATCTTGATGCATCTAGTCAGGCAAGCGGCGTCTTCGTGATCCATCTTACTTGGAGGTTCGCCATTCTCTGCCAGGTCCTTTGTTGCCACAAGCATTCTGCACAAACGTGTGCGCACAGGCGCGCACGTGCTTTCTTTGTGCTGTTCGGCAAGGATCAAGATTCTCTGATGGTCTCAAGGCATCGTCCTCGCTGGAAACTTCAGGTACCTCTCCCTGCACCAAACGCTCTCTCTGTGGGCTGCCGGTGGTCTGCAAGACCAGGAACTCTGTGTGGAATGCCAAGAACCAAGCAGAGTAGCCAACCGTGGCCAGGAAGCAAATGAATGGAATGGTGTTCTTGGCCCAGCATGTCTTCCGCTTCGCCATGCGAAGCGGCAGCGGCGGAGCAGCTCTCCATGATGGATGTTTGTCAGCTGCTTTGCTCTAAGTCAGTTGCGGGATCATGCTGAGGCAATCCTTAATGTTAAGCTCTGGGAAATTGTTTGCTTAGCCAACTTGTTTTGAAGAAGATAGGATTCTTGATAGATAGGTTGCATTCGCAAAGCACAGACTCGTAGATCCGAAAGTATTGTTGAAGGAGGTATGCTTAGTTCTTTTCCCATGTGAAATCAGGAACATTGCTTGCTGCTCATCTAGTCCTGAGCTATCTGCCGTATTTACTCAAGAACCCTTTCTTGCAGCAGTATTCCGGGCGCGCCTGACCAACTCAAGATGGATCGTTCTCTGCATTGCATGGCTGCAGCGTTGTTTTGACGGCAGCAGGCTGAGCAGGCTGCGCGGGTTTAAGGGCTACAGCGGGCACGCTCCCAATGTCTGCATGCCACTGGCTGGGGGACTCGTAAGAGCTAAGTCTTTGATTTGATAGCAACATATATCCGCTGCTAGCGACTGCTGGACATGGCAGGCACCGCTTGGAACGCAACATTTCTCGACACCGAGCTACTTGGTAGGAGAGACCGCGCAGGAGTACTCCTACAGAAGTGAAGGTGGGGCTTCGGGTGCAGGGGATGGGATTCTGATGACTCACAGGCCACCTTGCAAGCCACATTTCAAAGTGTCACTGTAGCAGCTGCACCTGCAGCAAGTGAGCCAAGAAATGTTCTGGAACCAATCCCTTATCTATGAGCGAGTGCGGTAAGGCTTCTGGTAGCTGAACTTGGACTGCAGTGACTGCAGTGCATGTGGTGAGAAATTGTTATGTGCTTCCACCCCAGAGCCGAACATGTGGGAACGTCGGCTCATTTCAGAGTGTTGCGACTCTGGTGCGAAGCTGTGAAACTTCTACTCTTCTCTGGAATGCTTCCGTGGCCAATAGGCCAGACATAAGGCAAAACTGTCCCCTGGTCGAGTTGGGCTCCATCCTTCAGTTGGCATAAGTTGCCATCTTGTACCGTTTGGATTGCTTGGAGACGTCTTCTGAACATCAACGAGCAGGTCTCAACCAGGGCGTTGGAGCACTGAAACTGGTAGGTTGTGAGGCCACCAAACACCAATGTACCACTTCATCCAAGCATCCAAGGCCTCCAACCAATGGCACTTCAGTAAAACTAAACTCAAGACTTTTGCGGCACGCGTTTAACTCCTTTGCAGCTTGGGCCCTCGCTCACGGAATTGGCGATTCCAGAGAGCACCACCTGCACGTACACTTCAGTTTAAGTGAGAAGTTCAACGTGTTCTAAGGTGCAGCGTGGCATCTATGCCTTTCGGTACGCCCTCCCAGGTAGGCAGCAAGTCGTCTTCACCTGTTCGGACTATGGCACAGGAAGCTGCAACGAGCATATGCCATGCTGAAAAAGGTCGTGATGATGCTGTGCCAATTGCTAGCCCCGTGGGGCACTTCGGAGGTCGTCGTCCATTTCCTCCTCGCCCTCTTCCTCCGTCTCCTCCGCAGGGCCCTCAAAATGCCAAGCCTGTTGTCGCATACCTCCCCATGCCTCTTGCAGATTCTCATGGTCTTCCTCACCTAAGTTCCCAACGATCAGACACAGGAGCTTGCAACACATCGTATGACTCAGAACCTTGGGATCCTGGCAGGTGTCTGTCATCTCCCGTTGAAAGGCGGAGTTTTCTAAGAACCTAGAACATCATCGCTTCCGATGGCTACTTCGTGCTGAGAATGCTGCGCAAACCTTTAAGTGGGCTATACTCTGTGCAGACAGGCGACGAGTTGAAGAGTGGGATCCAACATGAGGTCAGGGTGGCATAGTTCGCATAACCTCATCCGCGTCTGTACTAAAACGTCTATGGAGAATGGAGTTTGTGCAAAGCTGAGACTGGTGGCCACCTTTGAACTCATCGTACAACTCCTGCTCCTCCTGAACCCATTGTGCTCATTCTAAGCTACGCCACGCTACGTTTGGATTTTGAGCTTCGGGGAGCATGCAGCTCCTCTAAGGCAACGTAAAGCAACGAAGCCCACAGCACGAAGCCGACCACCAGGGCCATCACGGGATTGCACAAGGCAACCTGCGCACATTGCTAGGCCCAGCTCTGACGAGCGTTCACAGAGAATGCATCAAGTACTTCATTTGACTCCACACGTCCATGACGATGGGTAGCAACACATCCCTGGGTAACGTGATCATGTTAGTATGAGCGATGGACAGGAGTCACATACACCCAAAATGACGGGGTCACCGACTCCCAAGCTTGAAAGGGGTGGGAAACACCCAAGAAAACCTTTCCGCAAAGTCCTCACAAGGACTCCCCTCCCCAATCAGTCTGTGAGGAGATCAAAGGGTGGGTGGGTGAGTGGTGGACGCATTCAGAACCTTAGTGGGCCCTACACCAACCAACCATACAACTAAGAATCAAACAAGACCTTGAAATCCCCACCTCGATTCCGAGGCCCCAGAGCATGGCACCCAGATAGGCAGGATGCCTCTCGTACTGGTACACACCCTCCTGGCGGAATGCTTACAATATGCCGGGGAACAGCACGTATCTGACCTTTGTGGCGTGCAAGACAGTAGGCCTGAATTATCCGTCGATCAGGGATTTCCAAGCCAACAAAATCCTCGGGTCGCTCCTCCTGCCAATACAAGCGTCAGGTATAGGCCATGCAAGGATTCAAGAAAGTGACCTCTTCCGGCATGTTGCGACCTCAAAGATTGTAGGACAACAAGTCCCATTCCTCAAGAAGCCATTGAGAAGGATGAGCTGGCGGCAGCTTGCCCAATAATTGCGGTCGGCCGTTCGTGAGGCAACAGCAATCAGCACCTTGCGCTAGCAATCCAGCAAGGGCCAGAAGTTGTGCAGGCTAAGATGGGAGCCATAGGATTGAAGAGAAAACAGGACTTTCTAGCATGAAGCATGTAGGACCTGCTACTCTGTGCTGCACTAGCTGCAATATTCTTCTGTGGCTCTCTTTGAAAGAAGCACTCATCTATGTTTGCTGAGAATTTGCCAATAAGGCCTGGCCAGCAGCACACATCGCTGCCTCAGGAGCAATGCTTTATGAAAGCATTTATTCTCCTTTTTTGCTCACCGTTCATCGTCCATGTATACAATACAGATTCACCGCCTGACGCAGCATTGGCCATTTAAAGTCCAAGGCTTTCCTTGCTGCACAAAGACAAGCGGCTCCAAGCACCGCGAGGGATGGCCACAGCTTGTAGTCCGGAAACCATCTGTCAGGGAAGCCAGCAAGTAGAACATAGCCTAACTCTTGAATGTCAGATTTTGCTGTGCCTCTACGAGGCTGCAAAATATACTGCAAAATCAGAAGCATGGCGGCCTCCATTCCAGGAAGAGCTCAAGGCAACTGCATGCAACGGCCGCGTTAAACCTTGGAATCAGTGCATCCAACTCGAACCCTTCAGCCTGCGGCTATTTGAGGGTGAGTCCAGTCAACAGATTAGACTGCGAAGCTCTGGTTTGCTGTCTGCCGTGCTTCTTGTCAAATGTAATCTGGTGCCTCAGGGCTCCTTTGGCATGGACAAGATCAAGTTTGAGTGCCGCACGCGGGAAACATCGGGAAAAACAGTGAAATGCCTGAACAATGCGGCAGCCACATCAGGCAGCACAACAAACACGATGTCGAATGCTGCCGGGCAGCTAGTGATGTAATCCGGCGGCAGAACCGTGGATTCCATCCAGAAAGACTTAGCAGGCCATGGAAGGTCGCAGGCACAGTCCAAGGCAAATAACGACCACACTGACCCTGAACAGCTGAGGGCATCGCATGAAAATACAGTATGCCTTAGCAGCTTTGAAGCCCGGGTCAAGGAGGCAGCTGAGAGATTTGCTCCCGGCAGAGGTTGCAGCCAAGTAGCAGCAGAAGAAAACCAAGACTGACCAAGGGCCGACGGAATCAGAACCGTCTTGGCCGAGGATCCTGCCAAGATGATGAAACATGTGACCATTGTTGCCATGTAAGAGTCGTTTGGCGCAAAGATGTCTGCACACTCGAACCAGACAGGAGGCCCCATTAGCATATTCTGAGCCAACCGAACAGATCTCGCTGTCAGGGTCCAGAGAGCGAACTCGCTGAGAGCAAAGCCGGCATGAAGCCTTAGACGCGGAGTAAGTTGCCCATTGATTTCGTAGCGAGCCTTCAGAGACCAGTATGGCAGATCAACTTTTTCTCCTTGAATTTAACCCAAGACTGAGGGCAGCCTCGCAAAACATTTTCCCCACTTTCTGCACCAACAGCGGAGATGATCAGGCGTAAAGCAGCAAACCAATGCCAAGGCCCCAGCCCGAAGGTTGCACAAAGGGCCAAAAGGCCACTGTGTCCAGCATAGTCGGTGAGGAAGGCCACGCCCATCAGGTGGACCTCAGAGGTCAGACCATGCGGTGGACCCTGGCAAGGGCTCAATCGAAAACTCAGGCTGGAATGCAAGGAGATTCTCGGGCCATACGGCATTTTTGCAGATTTTGCAGAGAGTGCTGGAGGTCTGAGCCACCGGCCAAAAGGAAAGTCCAAACAATCCAGGTTGCAGGAAACAAGTCAGCCTGTCGGGAAGGAATCATACACGCACAAATCTCTATCCAAGCCTGAATAAATTGAATGCAACTAAACTCTGGTTCAGAAAAACATTTGCATTACTTAGGGTGTTTGTGAACGGCCGGACGCTCGTGAAGTAGCCAATCCAAGCTACTTGTAGGTCGAAGCATGCACGCTATCTGCACCGCAAGGTACCTTGTACTGAGCTTGGAAAAACAACAAACAAGCCCCTCTGGGCAAAGAGCACTATGAGATTACCACAAAAAGCATCCAGCCAGCGCCTGTGAAGCTATGAGGCCGCAAAGGATGGAGCCCGCGAATACCCTGCGCATCACATAAATTTCGGCCATGTCTTCTGGTTTTGCAAAACAGACAGCTACTTTTGAAACGCGAAGGCTCCATGCAGGTGTCGCTTGCCTGCCAGCTTGGTATGCCCTTGTTGGGTCAGGGTATTCGTGTTCATCTGTGTACCTGTCGTTTCCAAGGAAGTGTTACAGTGGGGCAAGTCCTTCAAACGCAGAGCACTAGGAGCAAAACAGAAGTAGCCCGGCGCACATGGGCTTGCTTGGCTTCTGTGGAGCCAGCTGCCCTTCAGGCCTCAAGCAGGCTAGCGGTTCTCCCATGCGCGTCGAGGCTAAGATTCTGCAAACCTCCTGAACCCCGCTTGGATAAGTGGATCTGCTTCTCCCAGAATCCGTTGCCACTTTTCCTCCGTGCGTGTCCTTCTACTATGGGCCCATCTTGAAGCTCCAAATGCCCTCAACTAAGCTGCAGAGGATGCGCAAACTTCCAACTTCCAACAAGCATGCTGGAAACCTTGCTGGTAATCCGCTAGGCTGCAGCCCTTGCTCACTGCAACTGCGTGTAAGCTCTAGACAATTTAGGTTTCAAGTGCCTATGCAGCATCTGCTAGATTCGCTCATGTCGTGTGCTCTGAGATGACAACCCATTGAATGTACATGGAAATCCAAGCCACAGGCCACGGAAGTACAACCTACGTTTCTCCCCGAAGCCCAGCCCAGACCCTCACTCCAAGGCAGTCAGTGCACCTTTGCGGCAGCACCGGTGGCGGTCCCGGCCGTGGGGCCGGAGGTGGCCGCGGCTCGGGCTGCAGCAGAGCTCACGCTCACACAAGTTACAGGCTCGTCTGGGGGATTCAGTCTTGCTTTCCCCAAGCTTTGACGAATGCACCCTCAAGCAGTGGCCAGGGCCGTATTCTGAGGTGCAACATGTCAATGAATGGCCCTTGCTTCAACAGCAACATGAGCTGGCTCTCTGAAGACAGCTCCTTTAGCATCTGGCAGTCTGGGTCTTCCTTAAATACACACGTTTGAATGGAGCCGCATTCTGCCTGCACAGCAGATGCAATCCTGGCAACCTTAACATCTGGAAGTTTCCCTAAATTACTGTTCCCAAAATGGGGGAAATTTATATAGGGCCCCGTATTATAATAGGAACCTAAATATAGGACCCCGTATTACAGTAATTTAGGACAATCCCCATCTGCATTTGTCAATCTGCTAGCTTCACAAAATGCTTCTGACTGCTCTTGCTAATTGAGTCCATTTCGGTATGGTTTTATGCATGGCTTGGGTCTTTGGCAAGATCAAACCACGACGAATCATCTAACTTCCAAAGGTAATTTATACATTCTCTTGCATTCCCAATGACGCACAAGGCTACTTAAGGTCTTGCGTTGTTCAGGTTGCGGTTTGGGTGGTGACCTTCAGTTGTATGGTTAGGAGTCCAGGTTGTGCAAGCCTGTGAAAGCTTTGATCATACAGGCGTTGCAAAACGCTTAAACATGCTTAAACAGCGTGTGCATTTACAGCTGGCCTGGGTTGCGTGAATGTCAGGTCGGGGTCGGGCTACAGTTGAGAATCCAATCAACTTGGACACACACATACATTGAACATACACGTAACAGGAGCCCTGACTCAGGAATCGTCTGACATGGCACCTTCGCGTCGCTGGAAAGCTTCTCCCTGGACAGTGTCACTTGATTTGCACAACTACCTACCGCTTAATTTATTGCTATCCAACACCTGCCTCTGCTTTGGAGGCAATGGGTGGTGTTGTTCCTGCACGTGTGACATTCCACGCAGATTTCGCAGACTGCTGGCGAGAAGGGCAGCATGTCATAGTCCGGTCCCGTGGCAGGGGCGGCGGTCTGAGGCCTTCTGGAGCCTTAGCGGCACCTGCCAAGGCATGCAGGGGTACCGCTTGATTAGTGGATTGTTTGGCACACTCTCTGCAGCTCCACGTGTGCCGAACCTTCCGGCCTACTGGAGGCTTCGGGCCGAGCACCGGCCGGTCCTCCTGGGCTTTCTTTGCCCTTTCAGCCGCCTTCTCCGCCGCTGCGGCCGCAGCATCTCAGCAACGCATCTCCATTGCATAGCAACTCTCTTGCAAGCATCAGGTCAGCATGGCTAGCAGGGCAGTTAGCTTGGTTTGTGAAAGATGTGATACCATGCATGCTGCTGATGTAGCAAGAGAATCTTTTGCATTAGATGTTTTGGCTTGCTTCCGCAAACCAATGAAGACTTGAACCCCTGAAGCTCAAACCACAGACCCAAAGATCCTAACCCTGGCAGAGAAAAGCTGGGATTTCTGCTGGCCGCCGCTGCTGCTCGCTGCTTGGCGCGTGCCTCGCAGCCACACCCTCAACATGCTACATGCAGATTACCGGATCGCTGCAACAAGCATGTGGAAGTTACCGAGCGATGCTAATGAAGGGCAAGTTCATGAGATGCTGTTCAGCTACAGCATTTCCCTCTTTGCCCGTAGAATGGATTCGAATCCACTCCCCAAGAAACCACGAATCCATGGCAAGCTCACCATAGGATGCATTGTTTAAAGACTACAGTAAAGGGGAAAAAAGGCCACAGAAGCCCACAGGCTGCAAGCAGGGGCAGTAACAAGAGGTGACATTTGTGGTTTCGGTTGCTCACGAGGCAAAACATAAAACTATCAAAAAAACTAAACTGCATTTTTCGGAAAACGTCGTTTTTGATCTTGGCATTCGCAATCAGATAATCTTTGCCTGAGAGGCGCGAAGACGCTGTGAAGTAAGACCCTGTGCATTGTGAGCTTTTCGTATGCGCATGTCAACACGGAAAACAACTCATTCTCTGATGTAACATAACTGCAGCTGCATGGGCCAACAGATGACAGCCGCAGCTTCCTGGGCTTTCATGAAGTGTTAACATCTCTGCATGCACAGGCGAGAAAACAGCTGCAGCTACGTGTGACGCCGTACATGCCACGTCATCTTTGTCTATCTTTCCGTGCGGCCTCTGACATTGGAAGGGCACATCTCGCGCAAGGGGCTGCGGCTCACCTTTTGAACGAACACCTTTCAACACCTTAAGGTCCGGGCAGCTCACCAAAACCCGCCGACAAGACGTTGCAAACAAAACACAATTCAGAGGATTTGTCACGTTTCAGCTGCAACATGCGCTCAATCGAATTTGGTTGTCACTCAAGAGAGAGAGAGAGAGAGAGAGAGACAGAGAGAGAGAGAGAGAGAGAGAGAGAGAGACCCAAGTTAAGGTGTAGCGGAGCGTGGATGGAGAACTCTTCGAACGAAGCATGCGAAAGCAAGCTCGGAGATGTTGGACTCGTTGATGGTTCAGGCTGTCTCGTGGCCAGTCGGGTACATCGGATCAGGCAACATTTTTGCGAACAAATCCGTGGTGTCTGAGACTGGCTGTCAGCACATCTGTCCACCGAAACTGTTGAACAATATCTGTCAGTGCTCCTTGCAATTCTTGAACGCTTCAAAGCTGCAAAAGTGCCTTGCCTCGTTTATCTCATCGATATCCTTGAGCTTTCTGATTAGCTCAGCCTCACATGGCTTTTGCTGAAGAAGCCCAGGGAAGCCAAACTGCGCTGACACAAAGCGTAGAACGAACACCCGCTCAGATCTGCACAAGCATTCGCTGGTACAAGCTTTTATCCTTGGCTGCTGCGGGGCTGGAGGCTTCACCGATTCAATGACATACTACTGGTCCTGCGCCGGCTCAGGAGCGGTTGTAAAAACGACGACAGCAACAAGACATTTTGCAGGTAAGCCCACATGACCACAAGCTGTTTGTCGGCTCTATCGTATCTGCTCGCAGGCATGTAGGGTTTCCTGTACCTCTCCGGTAACGCCGCTCTTGTCGGAGCCATCTCTGAGGCAAAAACCTCGCCGCCCTCCTCCGCTGTCTTCAGCTGCTGCACCACCTGCAGCTGGAGGCTGCTTTCGATGTTGAAATCGGAATAAAACCCCATGTGGGTTCCGGTTTTGGATCTGGAGGTTACTTACCACGGGTTAGTTAAGGAATGAAGGAATGGATCCTTAGTAGTCCCCACATGACCCACTATAGTAGTTTCCGCTTGTTTTCCATTCCTTCATTCCCAGCTAACCAAAGGTAAGGTTAGTATGCCAAGTGCCTGAAGGCAAAGCATGCAAAGCCCAAGAGCCTGTCCCCCTCCTTGCATGAGCTGGCCTGCGCCAGCTGCGCTTCCAGCATCGCCCGCTCTGAAGCACCATTGTCCTAAAGATGTTTACTCCGGAGAGCTCAAAGGCTGAGATCTGAAACCTTGAGCACTGGAGCCCTTTCACCTGAGCAACACACATGCAAAACCACTGCTTTTAAGATTCATTAAAACAAAGATTGAACATTGCCTGTGATATCCTCTAAATCCTTGAAACCTTGCACTTTGGAGGATGCCCCAGGGAATGGAAGACGGACTGAACGACTAAACCCGCTTGTTCGAAATTGTCAGCGTCTAGATCAAGGCTCTCTTATTGGGGATGCATTTGTGGTTTGAGGAGATTCTTGAGGGAAGTCGACCTACCAAACTACCATATTCATTGCAGTTCTCCCCCGTGCTATCTCTGCTGCTCTTGTTCTCATGCCTGTCACTTGCATTCACTAGCAATGCATAATGTTGAGCGGCATTGACCCTTGTCCTCATCAAGCCGGCGGAGGTTTGCAGGGCGAACCTCGTCTCAAGCTGTAACCCAACAATCTTCCGTCAAGAATCAAATCACGGGTGCAGGGGCATTCTGTCAACACGAATGGGTCCACTAGTACATAAGCTCTTTGCCGGCTAGCATCTCCAGCAGGAGGTACCAACCATCAAGCAGACATTTCTCACCCGAGGAGCAAGCCAGTGGCGAGAAATTGAATACTGTGGGAAGGTCTTTTAGATACTCAAAGAATCACAGACTTCAGCACCCATGCACACGTCGGCACAAACTCGCTGCGCTTCACCCACGCTTACAACGGTGACACAGACAACCACGTATGTTGGCAACCTTCATCTGATTTTAGGTCGTGTCCACGTGAATGTGTCTGAAGACTGGGGTCCAATTTAGTGCCAAAGGAGGAAAAACAGTGACAAGCAGCTGACAAACCCTAGACCTGAATCCTTGAACCTTTGCCCTCCAACTTCACCCTTACCTCTGACCTGTCCATCACCACACCCTAGTCTATCCTACTTGCAGCTTGCAGGCTGGGGAAGTGGTCAGGAGAAATGGCTTCGGAAAAGCGTCGAGTACTGTATTTTCAGGAAGGTTGAAATGGATTTACAAAAGCCCAAGGAGCCGGGTTTGATCCGGAAGGGTCGGACTCCACGACATGCGTGAAGCAAGAATTGACACGAACCAAAGGATCTTCGCCTTTGCTCACTTGTCTGGTAAGTATAGCTTTTCGGTCAAATAAACATTGCACGGCCCCTGCGACGTTGGAATCGAGTAAGGCAGGAACACGTCAGGCCCCAGCGGGACAAGAAACGGGTACAACCACAAAACATAATAGGCCACACCTGCGAGGTTGGCTGTGGACGGGTGGTGGGACATAAAACCATATAGGGTATGTGGGATGGGGAGGACGATAATCACATGCGGAGAAACTTTGCACACGGAGTCTGACTGCAGGTGTCGTCAAATGCCACCATCTGCAGCACTTTCCATGTTTAGCTAGCAGGACCAATCAGGGACCCGGCAGTTTGTCGAAAAGGAGAGCTGGCCCGAGGCAACAGCACAACAGCGCAGTGTCTACGAAGAGTGAACGAAAAGACCACCCCAGGCCGGCTGCGGCTTCAGCCGAGTGCATTATGAAATGGCAAAATGGTAAAATGGCAAAATGGCAGATACCCCCCAAAAAAAGGAGGCTACAGTCTACCTGTGTCTACCTGTTCAGAGTTGTTTGAAATATCATGCGAAATCACGCTTTCCGAGCCCGCTGTCGACAACTCGACAGCAGGCCACGTCGAAGCTCCACCCACTAAGTGGACTTCGCTTCAACAGCTATTGCTTCATGGAAATGTTCATAGATTCAAAGCATGGCCTGTTGGCTGGCCACTGTGTCGGGATTGAGCTTCCGGCAGCTTTGTTCTCCAGCTCGCCATCTAATTTCACTCCAAACCTTGGAACGCAACACGAAAGGCTTGCAATCTTCCGCTGGCGCAATGAATGTCCCCTTCTGGATATTGCTGATGGCATTGACAATTGCATCTGCTAGTGTTGCTTGAATTTGCCTGAGCTGTCTAATCCGCTTGTTCTTCCGGACACCGTAGCACTGCTATGAAAAGACCTATCACCTAAAGCTTGCACTGGTACTCTGGCCAATCACTCGATTGGATGAACGACAAATAGGAACTCAACTAGGACATTTTCCTCCCGGTCACTAGCGACCGAGGCATGCTCAGGCACGCGCCGCTGGGTCTCTTCAACAAAGGCGACGATCCGCCCTGTCCGACCATTTAATTCCTTTGCACCTTCAGACGGAACAATTCGATCGTCAACCAAAAAATGTCACTTGGTAGCTGCAAGGGCAACAGGCATGCCCGGGACCTTGCAAACCGTGGATCTCCACTTCATCCCCAATCTCAAAATCCTCGTCGTCACTCCTGCTCAAGATTGAGGCACAGCAGATTCAGGGGCCTGTGATCTTCCGTCCTTGCATCGTCTGATCTTTTTTTTCTCGTCATGCCAGTGCCTGCATCTTCACTCTTTCTCATTCCCGAAATATCCGCAAGCTTGCAGGCGCTCAGGCTCGGACGCTGCCACGCCTGCAAAGCGTAGCGCCGCCGGCTGCACCCCCCCAAGCCCTCCCACAATTCCAGTTCTCCATCCAAAATTGTATCTTCAGAGCCAAATGGCAAGAAAAGTATATGATGCACCTTTGTCCTTATTGTCCTTCACGATGCAAACCTTGCTGAAAAGCCGCAAGGTCAACTGCCATGCTGGAACTTGCAACGTCCGCACTTCTGTTTCTGCTACGATCAAGCAATCTAGCTTGTCAGCGCATCCCGCTCTTCAGCACCTGACTGGCAGCAAAAGAAGTTCCGCCATCGTGAAAAGATTCCCCAGCCGCAGTTTTGCCGAGTTGCGTGGCTTGTCAGTGGTGCAGCGGAGGACCTGAGACCTGTCCACAAAAGCAAATTCACATCGGAGCCCCGGCAGCAAAGACTTGGAGTCTAAGCGTCGATCCACCACGTTCCGTGTTGCTTCCGTCGAGCCACGAAGGAGCTTCTCCTTTGAGAGGCACTGCCCACACAACACCCTGGACCCTCACATGCTGTTAGAATGCCTCTGCAAAACCTCTGCCAACAGAATAATTCGCTTAGTCGAGGAGTTGTGAGCGCCTTTCATCATCGCTGACTTGGAAAACGCTGAGAAGAACTGGCAGTAGCTGCTCAAACGCCTGCCACATGCTCCGCAAGGACACGATACAAACTGCCAAACGGTGTCACTTCTTTGCGAACAATACTAGTATGGGTCTTCCGTCTTGCACTGGCATCAATTAACCAGTCTGGGAACTCAAATACATTCAACACTCTAAGGTTTGCCCTGTTCTTAACCGCCCTGTTCTCAACACCGTGCCGGCAGCACGCTGTTGCCCTGCGGACTGTGTGCAACCAGCTTCAGCGCGACGCACCTGCAAGGCTTGCAAGGCTGTGCCATCAAGTCTTGGTCCAGCATAGACGTGTTCCTCTATGTTCCTCTGAGATTTTAGCAGAGACGTCATTTCTTTGGCCCTCAGCATGTTGGGACGCTTTGCAGCTTTAGAGCCTTCCGTACTGCCATTGCGGCTCACTGGGTCGGCCATCACCAGGATCCGACACGTCCTCCAGGCGCATCGGCTTCAAATCAGCGGAGGGGCGGGCGGGGAACTGCATTTTCTGCACAGCTCCAACTTGCCTTTGCATTCAGACAAAGTGATTTGAGTTCTTCAGTTGCTCTAAGTCGCTGAAGAAAGCCAGACATGCAGGGGATGTCCTCCAATGGAGCGGCGTCAGCCACCTGATTCTTGGATGACTGAAGGACAGCATGAAGCGCTCTGCACGAGCGACGCTCCGGATGACTAGTTCAGATCCACTGTAGGAAGGTGGGAACCCATTTTTGCCGAAAAATAACATGTCATGGCTCAAGCACCCCGATGTCTTACCTGCCTATCAAGCTTCCCCATCCACTTCTTGCATTTTGGCATCTGGCTTCAAAAGAAGCCAAAGCAACCAGTTTTGCAGCCCCAATGGAAAGTATTTCGTGGCAATCACCAGCCAGACCTCACCTCTGTAGGTGCATCGTCCAGTTGCTCCAGGCAGAAAGTCTGCACCTCTTGTTTTCATGGATGGGCTTTAGCTGGCTGCCTGTCCCAGACACTATATGATCATACTGCAGTCCGGGTCATTCCATTCCGTGGCCCTTTGAACGTGCTGGAAGGAGGAGGCAGCAGAATCAAGACGGCACTTCCTGGCCGGCCCTCACGGCCTCCGCTCCTCGAATGCTCCCTGAGGTCTTCCGGTGTCCCCGCCTACCAAAAAGCTGCCGGTGCAAGACAATGGGACAGAAGAAAGGGTGTCGGACAGAAACAGAGAAAGCAGAAGAAAGAGCTGGAGGCATACACATTTACATCTATGCCCGAAACCTTACAACACCTGAAACCAGAGAACCATCCTCCACACTGCTTCATGAACAGGCAACAAGTTGTTCTGCCTGTCGCCCAGGCGTGAACCAGATGAATTCTTTCTGCCCATGCCTGCCATGGCGCGCACAGAGAGTGGATAATTTGGTAAGCGCAGACTAAGACGAGGGTAATGCGCAAGGCTCCCGTGAAACCCGCGAGACGGGGAAGGTGAGAACGAGCTTTGCAAATTCTCCCAGGCAGGCCATGACAAAGTTCGGGGTTGTTGGCGGCATCATATCTGAGATGGGGTTTGCTTTTTCCTGCGCCTCTGCAATGCTCTCAATTCACACATGAAACCATTGCCCGCCACGGGCTGAGAATCAGGAGCATCATCCCGACGGCATCCCTTCGGAGGGACAACACCTTTTAGCCTTCCAACTCTGTAGCCTGCTGAGCTCTGTCCCTGCAACGGGCCTGGGGAAGCCCAGGGATCGCTGTACCAGTCATCCAAAGCCTGAGAGGATTGGAAGTTCGTGAGGCTTCTGGAGGATTCAGTATCAATCTTACGCCCATGGGTCACGGATACACTAACTCTACCTTCAAGGTTATTCTACAGAACTTCGAATGGCCCACAGATGAAAGCAGAGGAGGAGGTTTGACGAATCTGCAACGCAGAAACCCATAGAGTCAATTGCAACTCAAAGATCCTTTCACGAATTGAGGTGCTTGCTCAGGACATCCCTGAAGCACACGAATCCCAATGAAGCTTCTTTGAGATGTTGAGCAGCTGGCATCCTGGCCAAACCTAGGCAGGACCAAACAAATGTCAAACCGCATGCCGGCCGCACCAAAAGAGCTGTTGGTAGCTATGGGGACTTGAAGGCGGTGGCTCTTGTTCGGCGCTGTTGGAAAGAATGTGCCTCGGCAACGGGAGAACCAGTATCAACAAAATTTGGGTCCTGGCGCGGATTCGACTGGTTCACCCACACCTGCCTGCACGCAGTAGTGTATGCGGACTATCACAGGGGCTGAACATGCGTGAGCTTTCTGGAATGCCAGCTGCTAGGACGTCCAACAATTTGTGCAGGCATTGTGCAGGCCAAGGAAGTCTGTGCAGCTCTTGGTGACGCAAGAAACAGTCTGCCTCCCCCCCCTTCTGCGAACCCTGCTGCAATTCAAATGATCAGGGCTCTCACGTTCGTCAACGGATCTTGGGAGGCTGTTCGTCGTGGTTTCAGAGCGGTCCAGCGGAGCGGGGTTCGGCGCTCGAACTGTGCAGCGCGCACGTCGTCCTTGGCCCACCGAGCTCCACGGCGCCTTGTGCTTGCTGCACAGACGGGACTTCAGCAAGCAGCACGCCATCGAAGGAGAGCTTCAGGTGAAGAAGAGGCCGCCACAGCACTGCGGGCCCAAAATGAGGCCTCCTCCTGATCCAATGAACTGCCTTGAGGCATCAGTCCTCTCCAGCAATGGACTCGCAGTCATAAAAGCTAGCCTCGCCATCGTCTTCTCTGACAGAGGACTGCTCTTGGGGAATCTCCAGGAGGCGCAGTGGTGACAATACAGGAAGCGGTGAGGGCTGTGACGAAGTAGCGTGGGAGCTGTGTCCGTTCAGGGCTTGCAGCGGCTCCCGCTCACCGGCCTCCTCTCAGTCGGTACTACTGCAAAGGATGAGCAGCTTCACAACACAAGCGTACGACAGCTTGACAGAGCAAATCACACACGCACAGAGCACCCGCACAAAGCCAAGCTCCTCATTTGGCGTCTTCACTACCGAAGGTGTTACCTCAGCAAGGAGAGACTTGAAGCCATGTCAATGTGCAACGAACGGAGCAGGATCAATGAACGCACAAGACTCAAAGCAACTCGAGCGAGCGCAGATGGCGCAAACACTGTGCTGAAACTCTGCAAGGAGCAAACAAACCACCCAAGCTTTTGCCACCAGACATGTCTGCTTCTCGCACGGACACAGTACCAGCCTGGTCCACAAACTTGAGTTCAGTTCAGTTTAGCATGAGAAATCTTCTCATGCCTGGCCTGGTCGACATCAGATCTTGTATGGCTGGCTCCAGACAAGGGCTCTGCAAGCTCCAGCTGACTGTCAATCGCATACTGTACCTAAGACAAAGCAGTTCAATTACAACTGAAACCTAGATGTGACATCTGCAGTAAAATGTGAATTCCTCTACGGAAGGCATGAATGACCACACTGCACGTGGAAAGTAGCATTCATCCCACATCACAGGAGGATGAATCTGTTGAAATGCCAGTCCAAAACAGACATTTAGCACCGGAAAAAGAAGAGGAACGCAGCACACGTTTTATACACTGTCCGGTGCCAGATGCCATCTGAGCCCCAAAAGAGGAAATCAAAGGCGCAATGGAAGTCCAACTCATTATCTGCCAGAACCCTTCCACCTGCACAGCCACCTTTTAGTTTGAAATCAGAATGTACCTGGAAGTAGGTGTCAATAGCAAACACGATGGACAGTCTAGCGACTCTAATCAGTCTAGTCGACAATCGATCTTGAAAATACACGAAAAGCCCGGTCCTCAATACAAAACCTCAGCGAAACTTTAACAACTTCTGAACAGAAAGACCAATAGACACTGCTGTAAGAGAGTCCTCAACCAACATCCATAGAAACCATCAACAGAATCATTCTTGCCGCTAGGCGAAAGGCCCCCTCCTGAAACATGACTGCAAGCCGTGACAGACACATCTGGGAAACCCTTCACAACACAGAAACCAGTGCGGGCATTGGAACAAGGCGTAAGAGATTGCTGAAACAAAAGCACTCTACCCTCCGCAAAGGAAGCACGTGTCAAATGCAAGGACAGCTTGGGCAAGGACCCCAAGACCTCAAAAAGACAGCGCCCCGTTCTTTTGAAAGCTCTAATATGAAGATATGTCCGCCGACCCCGGCCAGCCATGGTCAAGTGCAAGCGCAGCCCCCCTGCTTTGAGCGGTCGTCATTGCAGATTGTCTCTAGCCCCCAATTAGTCCAATGGGAGCCTCCTAACTTCTCAAAAAATCATCAGAAATCTATGTTTTGCACTTAGCAAGATTTGGCAGCCTTGAAACTCCACTGACCAGGCAAAGACCAAAATTAACGAAGGGATTCATGGTGACTTTTGGTCCGTGCCTGGTCCGTGCAGTTTTAACGCCCATGGTCCGTCTAGGAGGCCTGTGATTTTGGCAGGCCATCCTCCGAACCGTGCTACAGCAGCTGCAGCAGCCCCAACATTGCTCTTAGCGTTTCCAAAACGTTTCTTAAGGGCCGCCCGACCTCCTGAAATCCCACAGCAGCCGCCAGGAGCTGCAAATCTTTGCAGTGGCTGTCAAAGGATGCCCAAAAGTCTTCTAAGGCCTCGTCTCCACCTGCCTGGGTTGTCACCCAGACGCTGATGCCTCTACGAACGCATCTGGCCCCGAATGAGGCGTGCTTGGTTCCCATCCCATGTGCACACCGATTTGGCTTCCATAGAAGCCCCTGACTTTTGGTAAAGTCACCAGACCCGCAGCGTTCCCCAGACCTGCCCAGCCCCAACCCAACTCAAGGCCCGCGGCCAGGCATTGCTCGCCCTGCGCCACCACCCCTGGTCCTCGTTCCTCGGGTCGGCGGCAGCGGCGCCAGGTACTTGGCATTCAGTATTCATTATTATCTTGTGTTATTCATTGCGTGTTACAATGTAAAGGCGGGGAAACAGATGTTTGCTCAGAGATTTCTGGAGGAGTACAGATGAGTACAGGAGGATGGCAGCGGAGCCAGATTCATGCCAATCCGATCAATCTGCACGGCAGCATTATGTAGACCCACGCCGACACTGAACCCAAATCACGATGAATCACCTTTGCTCCCTGATCACCATGAACAGCAGGGGGTTGAGCTGATGTATACGACCACACACTTCTTGTCTTGCCCAGGTGCGGAGCCGCGAGATTCCCGCAGTCCAGATCCCTCGGTGAGCTCGTGGAAGGGAGACTCAGGCAACTCTGAAGTCCTCAAGCTGACAAAAGGCCACTTGCGAGGCGCGGAAGAACCCTGTGGGTCAGTCAGAACCATTCAAAATGTGAGACACGCCCCGGCATCAGAAAGGCGATGAACTTGTCTGTGCCAAAGCTCAAATGACTGTCTGCCAGAAGCAGCTGCCGAGTTGAGTCATGGAAGCAGTACGCCTCAGGCCAGAATCAACTACAGCCACCTAAGTAGTTATGGCCGAAGCTTGCACACCCCTGCTCGCTCAAAGGTATCTACCTACAAACGCCGCTTGGTCCCGGACAAATCGCAGCGTCTGCAGAACCAGCACCGTGAGTAGAGCAAGCAACAAGTCGCCCGGCAAACCCCAATTCACATCCGTGCATGCGCTGCAAGCCTTGCGGCACTTTGCCATCCTCCGCTGTCAGGCATTCTCCGCAGAGGCTATTGCTGCGATTCAGACAACTCCCTAGCTATGTCTGCAAGGACATGCAAAAAATCTCCCAAGAGTGCGGTCCCAAATATGATCCCCAATGCTTGCAGACTTGCAACATGTAGTCAAAGTACCTGAGGTTGCTGCATGGCCGTCAGATGAGGACCAGAAGATCCATCCGTGCACTGTGTTGCCAAGCACTCTTCAGCCAAGTTGCTTGCTATCCTGCTGGCAATCCCCCCGTGCGGCCAACGCTGCACACTCATCCACCACGTTCTTGCAACTTGTCCATGTCCCATGAACCTCCACTTGTGACTGAGGGTAGCGATTGAAGACCTGGCTGGCTTGTGAAGTGTCAGCCCGCCTCTAGCAGCCTGCCAGACCAGGCCTCATGCAAAAATTCAGAACAATGGTACTTGCATGTCAACACTCAAGAGCAGCTTGCGCGCTTAGAACCATTCACTTTGTCCTTTACCTGCTGGCCAACAAAAGCCTCCTCACTTTCCCTCACTTGCGCACGGAAGATCCCAGTTGGCATTTAAGACTATCATGGCTTGTTAGGTGGCATGGTGTCCTTAGGGGTAGGGTGCTCCTTTAGCGGAGATTGGCTTACTCAGATCTGCTATTGGCATTGTCTCAGCACCGGGCAGCAAAGACAAAGAGCGAACCGCAGGCAGCCAGGGCAAGTGTCCATTTTGCCAGCCGTGCACGAGCTGACAGGTTCATGAGCCTGACACGGCATTGCACGCATCCTCTGATACGTTCCCCGCCCACAGCCTGCCCCAACCTCGAAGGTCTGAGCTTGCTCGCATAAGCTTCCAGGTCTTCCTGCCAAGCTGCTCAGCCGGTCCCCTTGGCCAAGCCAGCAGCGCACACAGGGCCATCGGCGGCGAAGGGGCGAAAGCCAGAAACGGCCCCTGGCTCTCAGACAGTCAACAGCAACAGATCTGGAGCTGTGGAACTATCTTCCTACCGACAAAACGATCCGGAAGCAGCTCCCAAAGCATGACCTTGAGAATCTAAGGCCTCTTTCCAACCCTTGCAGTACCCTTGCCCCCAAAAACATCCCTAAGTAGGCCCAGGCCATCAGAGTGGGCGAGAGCGCTTTCGCCAGCTTTGGGTGCAGTGCTGCGTAGAGCCCAGCCACCAGCGATCCGCCGAGCGCAGAAACCAGTGTGACCTTCGGCGGAACCATTGGGAAAACTCAGGTGTCGCTACAATAGTTGTTCTGGAATGATCTTAGCTTGCTGATGGACCGTCCCCAACTCTCACGGGCAGATTGTCAATTGATTGATTGCCTGTGGGTCTATCCTGACCCTTGCAGGTTGCAAGGCTCAAGCTTCTTAAATTATCCCGTCAAGCCCATGCACAGCCCCAAATGCGCCTTGACGCAGGCGCGAATTGACAGCGAAATGCAGCACACCTTAGCCAGCACAGGGCACAACAACTGCATGGGCTTGCAGTTTCAGGGTTGGCTACAGGCTGTGGCCACTGCCTCCAGACAAGTTTTCGGATAGTCACCGCACGCTGCAGTTGTTTTAAGCATGCTCGCTTTCTGCATTAACCTTCGTGAGACGACTTGCAATCTATTCATACGTAAGAGGGGCGTTGCAGCACCGCCAAGGTCATGTTTGGAATGCGTAGAAAGACATCACCCTCAAAAAAGCTCTGACACGTGCCTTCCAAGCTGGGTTTCAAGCTGAAGCCCCTGGTCCCTTGAAGAATGCCATGCGGCTGGCAAGGGGGACTTTGCATCCAGGTCCAGCCATGCAGCAGCACCAACTTGGGCCTCGAGCAAGGCTGCTGCTCAACTCCCATGGCACCCCTTGAGCCGTTTAGAGGGGAAAAGAAGAGAACTTCCCGCCCACCGGCCACTGCCCATAAATTCTAGGTTGTGTGTGCGTGTGCGCGTTTCATTTCACCCTTTTGTTTTTGCAATTCATTGATGTGCTTGTTTCTTGTTTGTTCTGCTCGCACAAGACGATGAAATAAGCCTACTCTAGCGCTGGATTGCGCTTGGCAGATGTATCAAGAGGTGATCGCTCTTGTTCGCAATCCCTTTGCTCCAAGCAGCGACCTTGCTAGAAGCATTGTCACAAGGTATCTCCACCAGGGGATGACGTGAAGCATGACTTGAAGAACGGCTGAAAGTACGTTCTGGGAAGAGTCTTGGGCATGAGTCTAATGGAGCAGTTGCGATCTCATGAATACAGAAGGCCGCACGCAATAGTTAGGTTGGACAAGGGGTCAACTGCTGAACTTCTCTGAAGAAAGCCTTACTTATGAGGACCTCAAGGTGGCGCTCCAGTCTCGGAAAAGGATGCATCAGCTGACATTCGGAACTACAAGACCCGCGTGTCAGAATGATTGTCTGCCTTATTGTGCTCCTGTTCATCCCTGGCCTCCCAGCCAGAGCGGAATGAGCAGACCTAAAAAGAAGCAGGCAAAAGTCAGGAGTTAAACTACTGTTCTGTGCACACACCTGACGTGACACAGCTCTGCTGTTCAATGACAACAGCCTTTGGACTTTTTACTTTCCACTGGCTTCAGATGCTTCAGTGCCTTTTCATGCAACCAGGTTGCATGGCTGGGCAGATGGACCAGCCCATCTATCAGGGAAGCCACGACAGCAATGAAAAGCGGGAGACCCACAACGAGCGCAATGATGCCATTGCTGAGGCCGACAAAATACAGCACGGAGATTAGCACCTCCAGCTAGGCATATGCTGGTTGCAATCTCGTGCCACAGGCTTTCGTCATGCTTTGTTGGCGTGTCTAGGTGATAATTCTGCCTCTGGCTACCGCTAGTCCGTCGTGCCAGGTTCGCCATACGTGTATTTGTTGCCTTGCTTGTCAAGGCGCCTGTCTTGTGTTTTTTCCCCAGTGGCCCTTGTTTCTGGTAACATGGCATGCCAGGAAAAGTGGTCGCGCTGCTCCCGTGCATCCTACTGCAGAATTGTCTGACATGCGCTCGTAATGCGTTTCAGGCACGTGCCCGTCAAGAAGGGAAAGGATGGCACCAAAATTTGAAAGGATCCCGATGCCCAAACTACACCGCTTGGATTCTCCTTAGCTGTAGATGGACTAGAGGAAACGGCATGGTGTGGCTCCGGCTGACACATGCTGAGAACTCGCGCCTTTTCAAGCCCCTCTCTCTCTGACTGCAAACAAGCTTCTTCTAAACCACGGAAAGGTCGCAAGCAGTGCCAAGATGGCGCAAGCCGAGCCCAGAATCTGTAAGAGGGCAAGGTTGGGCGTTGCATCTTGTACGTTGATGCCAGCAGCCACTCCGAGAACAACTGCAGCCGTGGTAAGCGAGACCCGGTTTCGCAAAAGCAGCCGGCTGCGGGAGACTCTCTGCTGGCTCGGCGAGTGCATGGTCTGCCGTGGCGGCTGTGTCCATGGCCATCTATGCAGGACTGCTGCAGGAATCAACGAGCTGTCTCCATCAACACTGCAAAAACGCTTAGCATGTGCTTGAGGATGCTTACTTCATGGCCAGCATGCTTACGTTAGGACCGCTAGGATACTGAGATCGGCTGCGCAAAGGCTACTAGAAACAGCAGCCTGTTCTTCCTCCTTTTCGAGGGCGAAAACGTCTTGCAAAGACGTCTTGCATCTCTACACCGCAAAAATCCGTAAGCTGCAAGCTGGAGCCTCCAGCTCGTGGCACCGTCGAGCCACCTGGTGACATTTGCTCAGATGTCTCACAGATGTCTCAAATGATCTGACAGAGTCTGGGTTCGGAGCCTTGTCCAAGAACGTCTGCAGCATTGCCTCGCAGTTCAATGTGTGGACAGTCAGGCTCAATTGTATAGAAGGACTGCTGACCGTGCTCCTGCTCTCAAAACTCCTTCCACATCCCAAAGAACGCGGCAGGACAAGGGATTTCTAACTTTCTCCTCCTGCCTGGGCAGTCCGCAGCTCCCAGGCCATGGCAGCCTCCGTCAGGATATGAGTAGAATGCGAATGAATCCAATTCAGGCAACCAGGTCATAGCTAGAGGGAGGCGGGCGGTGACTTATTTCTGAATGGGAGGCCCAACAGCAGGGCAGGCACCAACCGTTGAGTGACCAGCCTCACTGCTGTCTGGGTTGCAACTACAGCAGGAGGACAGCAGGAGGCCGCGGCAGCGGCAACAGCAGACGTCTAATGGCCGAAATCAAAAGCGGTTGTGGTCTTATCTACTGAGGATAATCGCAACAGCTTGACCAACTACTGGCTCGTCACTGCTACAATTGTGACCGGCAGCATAAAACGGGCCTCCAGGGCACGCTCTGCCAGACTGAGGGCTTCCTGGGTTCATACAGCTCATACCCGCCCAAGCTCAGAGATCAGAACTGGCATCATGAGCAGATGTGAAGATGGCTTTTGGGTGGTTCTAACCACCATGCCGAGTTCCAGCGTGGTCTACGATGAGAAACATAAACACACACAACAGTGAATGAATGAATGCATGCATGCATGCATGCATGCATGCATGCATGCATGGATGGATGGATGGATGGATAAATGGATGGATGGATGGATGGATGGATGGATGGATGGATGGATGGATGGATGGATGGGTGGATGTGATGATGATGATGATGATGATGATGATGATGGCGTCTCTAAGCTGGAAATGACTCTGTGCATGGCCGCGTTGAACCTCATAAGTAATCTCTCTAATTGCTAAGTGGGATGAATCACACGCTGGACAGCAGGAGCTTTGAAGAACACAAAGAATATGCCGGCAAGCTGCCCCAACGGACTGCAGGGTCTCTGAAGGCCGCTGGGGCGTAGCCATGAATGAAAGATTTTTGAAGTTCTGTGCCCTGCGATGCCCTGCTGGATTCCTGCCAGGCTCTGGCGGTTCCTGCGGTTCGTGGCCTCAAGGCCTGGCAAGAATCGAGAATCATAAAACTTCCTTTGTCATCAGCACTCTTGTGTGGTGCTGTGGTGGCGTGATGGTGGGCTGTATGTCTTCAAGAGTATATGTTACTCGTGCCTGTGAAGCAAGAATGCACGCTGACGTTAACCACGCAGCCCCTGCTGATGGCAAATGACGGCTCACGAAGGGAAACTCAGATCAGCAATCGGCTGCTTCTGGTGACATTCTCACGCCTCAAGTATCAGCGAAAGCTCACACACGACAAGAATTATTGGATTCTTTTCTGCCCCACTTTGCGTACAGGTCTCCAAAGCCTCCAACAATTGTGAAAGCCCAGCGGTAGTAGGCCTGTTAAGCCCAGACTGTGCCTTTCCTGAAAATCCGCTAAGGCTTCGATAAAGAAAGTCGAACCGTTGCGGATGTCTCCTTTCCAAAGTTCAAAATTCTGGATGCAAAAGGGATTGTACCCGAGTAACTTTACAAGCAACAGCAGGGCGCCAGCACGATGAACCAACTCTGGCCCAATCATTACATTCCTCATGCAAGATCGGCTGGGCAAGTGCAGAATCTACTCCCCTGCTTCAAGGGAGGCAAACTTCCGCGAAGCTGTACAATCAAATTCATGTATTCTGCATCCGCAATAATGCCAAGAGGTCGATCTTCGAGCCCTTTTCCAATAACTGTGACATGAATCAGCAATGCAAGACCCTCTCATGAAGCGTTCTGCCAGCACTTGTAGCAGCGGCTGAACATTTGTGATTAAATTGGAAAATTGCATGGCGAGATCTTGCTGGTGGTGGATGCCTCAGATTTTCCTGTCGGCGAATCATCACTTAGTCTGAACAACTTTAGCTTATAAAGCGCTCTTGAACAGCTTAAGTCGTCGAGTCCAAGAACAGAAACTAGAATGCTGAAACACTTCAAACCCTCAAAAATACCTCAAGTGCAGAGCAGCCGCTCATCTGGAAAGCTTTGTCATGTCATCTCTTAATGTTGTTCAAGAGCCGGAAAGATGTCCTGGCTTGCTGCAAGTTTCGAAACAAGAAACAGAACGCAAGAATCCTGACATCATCTCACATCTTGGGCTGCAAGACACTCAGTGTACTGAAATGTACGCACAACAGGTGAACTGGTCCTACAGCCAAAACCCATCAACTCATCCATGAGTCAGTTGCACGGATTTGAAGATGGCAAAGCAGATCGCGACTACAGCAATTGCTGTCTGTGGCTGATCCTGTCGAATTGACGGATCCCCATGCAAAGACGGCTCCAGGTATGATTTCACGAAACCAGATTCGAGGGAGATGGAAGGGCTCTGCCATGCATCCCTGTCACGTCTAGCCTATATGAATCACAAAATTGTTTTTATGGTCTATGCCCATGTTCTGTCATGAAACACGTCCACAGCCAGCCCTCGCACAGCCCACGCCCGGCCACGAGCTGCCAAAATCATAACAAAGCTAGGCACATGTACTGCTTCCGATTTTGTGCTGTATTGTAAAGTAGATAATTGAACTCAGGATTTGAAACAGAAATCCTCTTCGTGACTAATGACTTCAAAAGCTTGCAAAAAGCCGAGTTCAGTGCAGTGATCAAGGGATGATTGGGCTCGGCTCGATTCCCTGATTTCTGAGGGGTTAGCTCTGCCACTAAGGGCAACGCGATCCATTTGAGGATGCAGCGGCTTGGCTCAACTCTTAGGCTTGGCTGAGGGTGCACCGAGCCTGGCAGAAGCAGGAAAAGAAAATGACTTCAAAACGCAGAACGACACAAGCCTTCAACTGTGACATCACTCCTGATCAAAAAGGCAGGAATCAAGCCCGGACAGCCAAGCAATAAAATCTCTATTTGTGTGATCAAGCGGAAACAGACCCTTGCCTTGACCAGATCCATTTGTAAACACAACTGCGCTAAATGTGCTGACAGGTCGTAGCAAACCGCTCAGGTGCCTCAGCCCTTGGTTCTGTGCTCAGGAATGTGACAGCAGCCGTGTTGCACCGGCTGCAGCTTTTACATTGCACAGTGTCCTCGTACTCTGACATCTGGATCACACCCTCATAGCCTAAGGCTCATGCTGACAGCTCTGGCACGTCAATATATTGAGAAGGTCCTGCGATTCTTAGCAAGCAACCTTTCACCACGCTCTCATCGTCAGCATATGCATGCCTGCGCAGCCAGTGCTGGCATGTATACGCTTGAAGGGATTTCACAACATTCCCCGCTGCAGGCAAGATGCTTTGCAGCATACACCATTTGTTGGATGCTGTAAGCCACTGGAGAAATATCGATGGCCCATCCTGCACGACACAGAAACTGGACAGCGCTGGTGTTGCTGGACACGGGCACGTCTGCAGAAGAGGCTCTCATCCACGGGACAACAGAATTTCGAGTGGCTGTGAAGCCATTGAACAGAAGGAATAGCATCCTTCTCCATTCAAACTGCACAGAGAATCAGTCGGTGGGGTGGTTAAGCAAAGCATGTTGGTCTTGCTGCTGCTGAAGGGTCATAAACGGGGAAGAGAGCACGATTGCTGTGGTCGCATCCTTCGCAATCGCTGCCACCATTAGATACAGCGCGTTCATGGTGGCCTTGGCGCAGGCTTTTTCCCGTGCTTGCCTTAAGCTGATCCTGCTCATGATCCTCGCATGGCAGAATCACGAGAACTGTCGAGAAGCAGCCAGGAGCGTTGACCAAAGGTAGACATCGCTATACATTTGCCATCTCCTTCGCTGCCGACTCATGCGTGAAGCAGAAACAACGGTTGCAAAAATGCGGGGATAGCCATTGCCAAGAGACAAACCGCTCATTGAAAAGAGGATAGTGATGAAAATGCCTGGGAACACGCAAAAGCAGACGTCATGTGGCGTTACTGATCATTAGCTAGGAAAAGGAACAGCTGGATATACTGAGCAGATCTGTGTTTTTCTTTTTGTAAGTGTCACACGTCCTGCCATCTGCATGCGCTTCCAGGATGTTTGATCGTCAACGATCATCGAATCTAGTGATGTATGAGAAATCTTATCAGCCTTGCATCTGCACCAAGCCTCTTGTGCAGTTCAAGATGCTATGGACCAGCAGCATCTGCAAGGTGTTCAGAATACCGAAGGAGATGATGTATGCCTTAGCTGAGCAAACAACTAGCAAAACCAATTTGCAGCATCCACTGCCATCTGACCAGAAGATGTGGTTGTAGTCTCACACGGCTTAGGTCTTTGGGAAAATTCTCTGGCAGAAGGTCTTATGTCATAAGTGCCGAACCCACTCGCTGTACAGCACCTGAGAAAGGTTTGGGATTCACAACATGCCATCACTCTGAAAGCGCCTTGCACAGCCTGCTTCAGCCTTTGCAAGTGAGTGTGCCTCCGCTGCTTCCATTTTCACAATCGTGCGCTCGCTTATGACGGCAGGCATGTTCCTAAGTGCATGCTACTGCTGCTCGTGCGGTCACAGAGTGTAAATCCCAAGTGGCAAAAGCCAAGGCCGCGGCTTCAAGCCATCAATTGCGCAAGTCATGCACAGCCTTGCTGCCCGGAGAAGAGGCACTGCTTAGTTGGGAGGATGAGATAAATTGCACGCCTACAGGCAGCTCCTCCGATGAACACATCTGAGAAGCATGAAGAAGAAGGCTGTCTGCTCTGCAGCGCCCAGCTCGCCGGTCCGCATGTATACAACGCCAACAACAATGGCCTTTCCCAGAATTGAAAAGTTGCACCAGGCACCCAGTCCCTCCCTGCCCGAACCGCTGACGAGGTCAACAAGTGCTACATGTTGATTTCCAGGGCCAGGCCTTTGCCACGCCACCCAGCCTCGATTTTACTCCGGTCCACTGGCAATTCTTGAGCTGGAGTTCTCATGTAGATGGAGGCTGCTACTGAAGGAGTGGTGGGTTCCGAGCGCCAGACAGGTCGGACAAGAAGCCACGAGCATCGCGCGCGCGCAGGATGAACTCACAGGGCCGTCTCAAGCGCGGAGCCCAAAGCAGACACCCTGTCAACTCAAACCTTCAGTTCTGGATCCCTGAACACACCATACCGAGTGGAGAAGAGCCTTACAATTGGAAGTCTCCTGCAACTTCCAGCCTGGCGCTTGAACACCGTTGCAAGCTGGCGGCGAAAGCGTCTAGCGTAAACGCCTTAGGTTGCAGCCCAAGTTACATGGACAGATTTCTTTCAAGAGCCTGCTCATTTAAGAGACCTTATGCTAGAATTCTTTGATTCCACCCGGAAGCCTGTCTGCAGCCGGGCAGCTTTTGCGCAATGGCGTCAGCTTGCCCCACCTAAGGTCTCTTTCGGAACTGAGGCACAAGAGCAAACGGGCCCCAGACATTCTGTGCGAAGGAACATGCCAACAAGCACTTCTGATGACTCTTTGACAGGGCCTTCCATACACTCTGCAGCCTCCAGTCTCAAGGTCCCGGCTTCTGTAGGGAGCTGTGTAATTCCGATAACAGCCTTGGATAATTTCACACTCACAACTTCCGCAGTCTGCCTTTGACAACTGACCAAAATCTCATAACGCCATCTCGAGATGTCCAGCAGTCGGTGGATTTCTGTCAGGCTGCCCATAGACATCGGCAAGATCAGCCTTGAGCCCAGTCTCGACCCGGGCCGCCACCTATGAAGTTAAAGGCGTATGCGGCGCTTTCTGCACCCTGGTTTGGAGCGTCAACGTCTCAGATGCCTGACTTATACTTCGGTGACACAGTGACCAGTCACAACATTGTGCGGGCCCAGACTTCCGCAGCTCGAAGACTCTAAATTGCGAAGAGGATTCTCTTTGAATGCTCACATTTCCTACCGTTTCAATTAGGAATGCAGTCAAATCTGCTCTCCCTGAATTACAGTACCGCTTTTATCCCCCCTTGTTGGTACACAGCATCTGGATACGCGTAGCCAGCGAATGTTGGATTCTGATTAGTAAATGGGGCCGTGTTAGAGCGAAATCAGGCCTGAACGGAATAATGAAAATGCGTACGGATTGGAGCGAACTTTGGTCTGAACGGAGTAATAACAGCACAGGAATGGAATAGTTCCATGCTCTGTTCTGGAAACCCCAAGAGAGAAAATATTCGCTGCTGATTAAACTTCCTTGCTGCCGCTTGAAATGACTCTATCGAACAAACTGACCATCAAGGCTCATCGAGTGCGTGAAGAGGCTAATGCACGTGTGTTGAGATTGCAGAACGAATGCAGCGCGACGAAGCGTGCCTGCTGCTCCAACTTTGCACCTCGATCACACAGAGCATTCTGCGGAACTGATACACTTGTCGAATTCTTGACATGTTGCTAAAAACATGTCAAAGCGAGTGCGGACTGGCAGCTGTAGTGCTGCACGAAGGTGTCTGCTTGGGCTTCTGGTCTTTCAGGTGTGACCAAGTCCATGAAAAAGTCCAGAGGGTTAGCGTGCATCGGCACTTCGAAGCCAACGCTGCTCAGGTAGCCAATGACATCCTAGTGTGGCAACAAGTCACGAGCCCTCAAACCTCATATGATCTCACATGCGAGGTTTGCGTGCCGCTGGAGACTTGGCAGTGTTCTTGTGCTGCGAACGCTTGAAAACTCAGGTTCTTGTGCCGGCGGGACCATCTACCACCTCAAGGATCTCGGAATGCTGTGGGGCCCCATTTTTGCGTAGTATGTATTTTGTAGGGTTTAGGACATAGATATCTTCGCAGCGTGCCTTTGTGTAGCCAAAATGGCCGTAATAGTGCTATTCCAGTAAAACTTCGCAGCTATAAGAAAAGGCCCCGAGGAAAGGACAAAGAGCAGTAGGTTGGTGAGGAGTAGGACGACGACCAACAGCACGATTGTACTAAGGTTACTAAGGAACTTAAGTAGAGTAGGGACCCGGGGGGGGGGGTGGTCAAAAAAACTCCCTAGGATTCCCCCGCCCCGCCAACCAAACCTGTCTTACACTCTTACACACTGGCAGAGGCAAAACGCCGGGAGGCTGCCAAGCCTCCTGCATTCCCTCTGGAGAGAGAGTTAGGAGCATTTTTCTTGACTCCACACATACAGTGGGGAGGACTCGTCATCAGTTTCTCCGAAGATACAGAGGGGATGATTCTGTTTGGACAGGATTCCCCCCTGTCTCAGGTACTGGCCTCAGCTCTGCAATCAGCACAAAGCCTTTTCCATGTGAACAGATCTCAAGCTCCAGCTGATTCTATTGACATTCTGTGGAATGAAAAGAAACAACTGCAAGGAACTGGAGCTTCCACTTCTCTCAAGTCAGCTGCATCTCTTGTTTATCTTCAATGTGGAGAAGATACTTCTATTCCGTTCGTAAGGACTGAGGCGCATATTGAATCAGTGAACCAATGGTTTTCCGCATATGTAAACCAGTGTAAACCCAGTGAACCATTGAGCCATTGACCCAATCAAACTTTGAACCAGTGAACCATCGAGAACCAATGGCTTTCCCATATGTAAACCAATTAAGTTGTTCAATGGTAGATTTAGACCTCCCTTTGTTTTCACATCATTCTCAAATGCACCCTTTGTTCTAGAACGGAACCTGTGCTCTAGAATGTATTTGTTGTCGCACTTATACGCTTCTGCCGGCCAGCATAAAATATGAATAGGGCTGTTCTTGTATTTTGTGAGAGGGGCTTGATTCTAAGTACATAGGATCCAGTTGATTCCATTGGCTTTCTCTGGAATGAAAAGAAACAACTGCAAGGAACTGGAGCTTCCACTTCTCTCAAGTCAGCTGCATCTCTTGTTTATCTTCAATGTGGAGAAGATACTTCTATTCCGTTCGTGCGAACTGAAGTTTAGTTTTGCCGGTAGCCTACTTAGTGAATTATTTGTTGCGTTGGGCTCAAAATAGCTGTTGCACTGCTGGGCTGCTGTTCTACTCATTTTTCTAAAGCATGCTGCAAATTTAGATGCAAATTCTCGAGTCTGGGGCTTCTTTATGCTCGATCAGCCCCTTATCTGGAACGTTCTCATGGCTTGGAGATGTGATATCCTGAATAGTTTCATAGTTCTTGTTGAGATATGAGCCCACTTTCCTGGGAATTATGTATAGAGAAAAAACCCAAGGCTGGAGAGTTCCTCCTTTAATTCGAAATGCCAGTAGCATGGTGTTTATACATAGAGAAAATATGCAAACAGGAGCCCAGGATTTCAAAAGGGATTTCTCCAAAGAAAGCCTGCAAAAACACAGAAAGACTGGGGAGAACCCTGCTCCGCTCCTTCAAGGACTGCCCTCCACTCATTCCAAAGAGGAAGTGGAGAGGAGTCACTCTCATGTCAACGATGGCGAACTCGGTTTCGCATGGCAGCTGCACTTTTTATGAGCGGGCCTCCAATAAAATCAATGGGTCCGAGAGAGATCCATATACATTTAATAGGCGGTGTGCAAGGCTTTGCATGAAAAGCCGTGAGATTTTTGTGGGAGTACTTGTATTTAAATGAGAAACCAGGCGAGCTTTTTGAAGGGAATGTTGAGTCATGGTCAGGATGGCACCAGATCGACATTCCCAAATATTTCATGTAAAACGTCTGAAAACGCTCAAAAACCCCGTAAAAATGGGGGGCCCACAGCGTTCCACCCTCCACTTTTTAAATTGATTTCGCCCTACCCTCAAGATCTCCAAATGCTCCCTTACCAGAGCTGCTTATGCCTGTTTCAGTTGATACTCAGCTGGCCGTATTTCACATTGTGAGAAGACCTCTTCTGGCGACTCAAAGTTGCATGACCCGTTTGAGATTTTTCTGCAATCCGCACAAGGTTTGGCCCTTTTATTTTGCTCTGCATGCAGAGGCCACCAGAGCGATACCTTCATCTTCGGAGCTACTGGACGAAACTCTGCAGTATGAGATCTCCCTAATCAAGAGACAACTCTTACAGTCAGACAAGCTGTGGCGTGCCCAAGCTCTGAAACCCCTCCTCCATCCTGCCGTTGTACACAGCCCGCCCCGGATTTGAGGTCATCAGGAGAAGTTCGTCAAACAGATTTGCCACTTCGATCCTGGGCTGGTGGATCACCTGAGTTCAGTGTTGTTCGTCACACATCTTGCAGCAAAAAACGGCAAGCAGATTGCAATATCATCCGAGAAGACAACACATGTTTCTCAACATCTTCAAAAGCTTCACCAGAAGTACACTGAGGGTATTTGCACGCTCCATCCAATTGCAGATTAGCAGCTACGAGCACGAGGATGTTATAGTACCTGCATATGTGCTTCATGTACCTGACAGCATTCAGAGATGCGAATTGAAATCAGACTCCTAAGCCGACTTTCTTGCCTCACGCAGGCTTCAGCGTCTGTTGCTGAGAGTCCAGAAGTAGGCTCGTCGCAGAAGAATACCTGCAATCTCCCTATCTTCAGTAGATGCCCAGCTAAAGGAACAATGTTCTGCCGCCATCCCCGCAGGACAGTTTAGCAGCAATCAGTTGCTTCTTATACAAAAGCATCAAAGTCGATGTCAACAGCTGAACGAAAAGTGCTTCAGTGCAGAGGGAATTAACATACAAACACCCGAACAAAAAAGACGCGCACATTCACTACTGAATACACATTTGAAATGGGTCCCTACAAATTCTGGCACGGAAGCTCTGTCAGAAGCCTTCAGCCTACGACATCCCGATGCCAACCGCAAGAGCTTTGCAGAACCCTCCTTGAAGGGCGAGCATCCCTGAATCCCTGAAGAGGGCACCCGCGCTCCGCTGGCAAGTCGCTTGGCCAGGGAGAGCCGCCTCCGGGCACAAATACAAAAAACACCAATGGAAACAAGTCTTCGACGCATCCATCGGTACCTTTTTGCTGAGCCCTTTGCTTCCGCTGGCATTGGGCGATGATCTGAGATGGTAACCAGCCATGAGCATCAAGTTGTCTGTGGCTGCCCCTATGTGACTGCCACAAGATCAAATTGAAAGCTTACAGTGAGGAATTTTGCTCAAGGGCCTGCAACGTGCGCGAGCTCTGACTCTGCTCCAACAACTCATTCTGCTCAGTCGTTCCGCTAACTTGCCATGGAATCAGCAGCTTTCCAGTGAACTCGGCTGCATTTGACATTGGATGATGCTCCGGGCATGTACTTTTAGGCAGAGCATAAAAGTCTTTACAAGGACTTGGTGCCCTCGCAATGAGCAGCCTTGGAGGTGGTACGAGATGTACGAGTGGATCTTTGCAGTGCAGAGCTGTGCGTGCCACTCGACTGCAGTCAGAGGATTCCTTCGTCGTCACCATGAAGCTCGATTGTTCTCCCCACAAGAATCAACAGTATCGTCTGGGCATTTGCGCTTCATGCCTGGGGAAGAAGAAGGCCTTAACTGCTGCTCGACGGCGCTGCTATCCCCTCCAAACTCCGGGTCACCCCAAGTCACCACAGAGCCATCGCTTCGCAGAGCGGCAAAAGCACGGTCAGTGAACTGGATCTCCAGCACGCCTCTGAGATCCTCTTGTACTCTACTGCCTGAGAAGTCAATTGTCAGCCTTGCCCTGCACGGCTAAGACAAGTTATTCCAATCCGCCCAGGCCGGAGGCCGGAGGCGTTTAGATCCAGCTTCAGAGCCTAGGATCCCCTCCCAGCGATCGCATTTCGGAGGGGGGGCACATGGCCTAGTTGGGGAGGCAGAGGTTCTGTTTTGCGTGGGCCGACGTGGGCCTGAGCTGAAGTAAAACAAAAGAGGGGGTCGAGGGGCTGGCTGAGAGAGGTGAGACAAGCAAGTAAGACATGCTTGCTGCGCAGTCTGCAGCTCTCCTCTACCCTTGCCGAGTCTGTCCGGTGTTAGCGGTTAGATTAATATTGTTGCCCCTATTGCCCAGCTGCTATCGCCGCCCGCATTGGGATCGCCCCAGGTCACAACTGACCCATCCTTCAGGGTTCGTGCGGGCTGAAGTAGTATTCAGTATTGCTTGCAAAACTGGGGACTACAAATACTGAAAGCCTATCTGGAGCCAACCTGCAGAATGGCAGCGAAGGCAGCCTCGTTCCGCTGAATGTCTTGGACGTCTCTGAGCTGGCCCTGCACCACCCTGCTATCTCCTCCCCCTCCCGGAGCTCCCCAGGTTACGACAGATCCATCTCCTAAAATTGCTGCAAAAGCACTCTCCGCGGCTTGGACTTTTCGCACGTCTGCAAGCAGCAGCCTCACGGCGCTGCTGTCACCACCATATTCAGGCGCACCCCACGTGACCACAGATCGGTTTTCCAAAATGGCTGCAAATGCACGTGCTGAGCTTTGAATTGCAATCACTTCCTGCAACTTGGCCTGCACGGCGGCACTGTCGCCTCCACCATTGGGATCACCCCAGGTGACAGCACGACCATCAGTCAAAATTGTAGCGAACGCGCTGCCAGAACCTGTAATGCAACGTATTCCCCGAAGCTGTGCCTGAACTTTGCTGCTGTCACCGCCGAAGCCAGCATGGCCCCAAGTCACCGCAGACCCATCTTTGCGAGTTGCAGCAAAAGCCTGCTCAGTGGACATTAGATACTGAATATTGCGGAGCTGGTCCCGTACATCTCTGCTGTCACCGCCGTAATCAGGATCCCCCCAAGTCACCACAGAGCCATCAGCACCAAGTGCTGCAAAAGCAGCATCTGAACACCACACCTCCAAAACGTCTTTTCTCAGCTTGTCACGTACCTCGCTGCTGTTACCGCCATCACGCGTATCGCCCCAAGTCACGACAGAGCCATCATCTAAGAGAGCAGCAAAGGCACCTATGGTCAACTCAAGCGCGTCAACATTCTTCAATTGCTGCTGCACATGATTTGGTGGAGGTGATGATTGGCCCCAGGACACTACAGATCCATCGGCCAACACCGCAAAAAAATCACTCCAATCAGATCGTATTTCGTGGACATCGCGAAGCTGATGTTGTACCTTGCTACAGTCACCACCGCCTTCAGGGTGACCCCAGGCCACAACAGACCCGTCGGAGCGCAAGAGCGCAAAAGCCCGGCATGCTCTGGCCAACTGGCTCCGCTTCGCGAGAGCCACCACTGTATCCCCATCTTCTACACCCACATCTGCAAGCCGGCTGCGCAACGGCAGCCGCCCCTCCGAGTTTGACAATTCGCTCAGGCAAATACCAAGCTCCCGTTGTGCTCGGTGCTTTAGCTCACGGATGCTGGAAAGCCCATCGGCTTCTATCAAAGCCTCCTTGCCACTCAGCAGCACCACGCGGACTCTCATTGAAAGAGGGCGTCAGTAAACTTCAAAAGCCAAATCTACATCAATGCGAGAACTACTTTCAAATCTTTAACGTTACTACCTGATGTCATGGAGCAGTCTATGTTAGCTCGAATCGCTTCTTGCATTTCTCAAGGATGTATGCCGATGGCGACTTTGCAGCAGCTTCAGGCGTGGAAATACCTGGAATCGCAGAGCATGGCTATTTGCGCTTGCCGCCTGCCTCTAAATACCAGGACATTTTGAACAGAGATCAGGTCTTTTATCATACCGGCACCCTGCTCTAAACATCTGGGATTCATAACCTAGCATCTGGCATTTAAGTACGACTAGAGGATTCAAGTAAGTCTTTGTACTACCCCTGTCAGCGGATCACGCTGGCTGCCCTGCATCTGTATCAAGAGCGCTAAGCTATGACCCGAGAGGCTGAAGGAAGCACACTCCCCTGCCAGAATGGAGCTTGGCAAGCCTTTTGCTTTTGATTTCAGTGATCCTCACACACCTGTATTCAGGTCAAGTTCCCTGCGCTTACGTGGGCCTGACGGAGGAAGATTTTTTCTCATAAGTACTGTCCCGAAACCTTGCAAAGCTATGATCCACCATGATCCACTTGAAGCTCAAACATGATATACCAATGCTGGACACTCGTCTGAGCATTTGCAAAACCATGCTGAACCCTGCCTCACCTGCCCCTAGGTTCCAGGGATGAAACATGATGAAACCCTGAAAAGCCCTCTGGCCACCTCTTCTGACCACCCGAGATGCCACGCAGAGATGTTCCGTCACCTATGTACTGGTCCTGCCAAAGAGGACGCAGCGTTCTTGGCGGCAAGATAAGAGCTATCTTTTTTGTTGATGAAGCGGGCGTTGCTGCGAAAATCCATCTTACCCCAGCCTTCACTCGATCCAGGCCCAGCACACAGAGGCGCCGCTCCAGCCACTCCCGCCGCATTTTGCGGGTCATTCGACTTGGCCTTTCAAGTGTCAGAATGATATGCAGTTGGCGTTTGGATTGCGGATGGCCAACGCAAGTCACAGTAAAAGTTGCACGTATGAAGTGGAAATCGCTCAAAATGTGCGGCTCGGCCTCTCAAACTTCAGACTTCCGTTGAACTCCATGGCCTTCGCTGATCTCTGTCATCTGAAATCATTCTGTCTGACGGCCCTGCCTCCATGACAGTCAAGTACTTTGGCATGGCTTCCTCTTGGGGCACATAGGCCGTTACCCGTGGAAAAAGGTAGTCCCGCGGCCGTCCGTTCAGATGAATGGTGCCAGAATACTTCGAGGATTTTCTCAGTTCGGCATGCGAGTAACACAAAGTATGCAGCACGTGCTTGTACAAACACAATGCGTGCTTTGCAGCCAAGCGTCTTGCCGGCCAGGATGTCCTACCAAGGTGCAAGCAAGCTCTACCAAGCCTGATTGCCAAGCAATGCCCAGCAGACCCCAACAGTCCAGAAGAGTGGACTTGCCACAGCCGGAGGGGCCCATGATGGCCACCAAATTCCCCGACTCGTAATGGCCAGAAACAGGCGCCTCGCGAGAGTCTACGTTGCAGAGTCGAATCGATAAGCATGCAACTGATGCAATACCTGGGAGACGGAGGCCTCAGTTCCCTACTGCCCGTACGTTTGTTGTGGATCTTCTAATTCTTTCAACCATTCTCATTGAACATCTCCGGCATCTGGAAAGACTCTTAGTAACAGGACGGAAGGAAGAGCAATTTCCAGTCCGAAGCCAGGCTGTCTCGGGTTCAATTGTGGTATGCGATTAGATGCGCATCTTGCACAGACCAGGGCCGAATGCAGAGAGGCTACTCGCAAATTGAGACTGCACCCTTGTCTAGATTTCCAAGCATGGAACCATTGACTAGGCTTGCTGTGCACTACGCAGATGGTATGCCCTTGGCTGCGCACTCCAGGTGTTTTGCATCCAAGCTGCCAAGATGTTCTTTGTCTGCCCGCGGGCGTTCACATCAAATGCAACGTCTTTGAAGGTCAGGCAGACGTCCAACAACCTCCAGAATCCCAAGAGCATGTCCATGATAGCTCTGTCCACAGTAAAAAGACGCAGCTACCTAGGGGACAGGAGTAAGTGTGCTGCAGCTATACAGCAACTAAGAGAGATCAATATTTTGTGGTGGT